CAATATACCTTATTACTTATTTCCCTACCCTAGGGTGTGACTACGTACTCCTTTGCATATCAAAATATTCCTCTCTAGTGTAGAATCACAGAAAAATCAATTCTCTTTTCTTCATCAACTACTACCCTTGAGATAGAAATGGTTCAATTCTTGGTACTGAATATAAAATGCCAATTCTGTTTCCTGCAGGAAACACAGTTAATGTTTTCTAGATATAAGCCTTTCATCATGGACACCATGAACTCGTTACTTTGATTTTAGAAAACAATGAAAATATCTCAACAAAGAATGACAAACATTGCTTTTTATTTCACTTTTGTCACTCAAAGCAACCACTATGTCACATTATAATGACTACTGCTGGGTTTAAATTCAGCATATCGTGAATCCATAGTGTTCCTAATAAAATACCATCTTCTGGTTTTAAGATTGCTGTCCTTACTTTTCCCTAATGACGATTTCAATGACATAGTAGCCTAATTAAAATCTTTATACTGGTCTGAAATCCTCAAAATCACATCAAAAACATGATTTGCAGTAGTAATCTTTATTGGAACTGAAGTGCTAATATCCTAGATTTTACTTTACTTCCATTATGCACTGCATGAAGTGTACTTAGTGTAATCAGTCACATGAGGTTTATTTATGCATTAGTCCATTATTTAGTTCATATTATCTTAATTTGTGAGCACCCCTAGCTAAATTTTGCTCAAAAGTCTGAAGGACGTACAGTTAATTCTGTATTCTTGCTTCACTGTTCACTTAATACATATGAAATATAAGTAATATAAGTTATGGTGAAAATGCTCAACTTCACTTACCACTTGGGAAAAAAAAAACATTAGTTTTTGCCACATTCCACAATCCCACAGTACCATGAACACAAATCCTTTTGTGGTGTCTGCTATGATTGCTCCTCAATTATGGTAAATGCTTTGTAAACTAATTTAACTAGGCCTATATAAGTCTATAGCAAACTAAAAAAATAAATAATGGAAAATCAGTATTTCTGAAAGCATCACACAAATTAATAGAAAACAGCTATTACAATTGTATTATAGTATATTCCATTGTTACAATCACTTGCAGTTTCTGGACATAGTTTTGCTGAAACCTAGTCTTTGACTTGTAATACAAGAACACAACATACTTTCAATCCATCGTGGGCCAAAGATTAGCGGCAGAAGACATGAATACCTAGATTTCCATATAAAGAACTGTTAAACCTGCACTTAATTGTAAAATAATCAATCGGGAGACCCCGAATCTCTTTTAGTGTAACAAATGATGATCACCTCTGTGGACTGTTGCTGGACATATGGGTTTGACAAAATTTTGAATTGGATATGACCAAAATGCCTGAGCCCAGAATGTAAAAATCTCTCTCCAGCTGATGGAAAGCATTATGCTTTGGGCATATGAAGTTTTATACATCCAAGTCAAGAGGCTTCAGCTCTGTGTTGAAGCACTTTGAATTTTGTATTTAAATACAATTGCCTTAGTTTTTCACAGCACTGCTCCCAGCTATTGCTGAAGCTACAGTATCATTGCATTTAAAAAATGTTAAGAATCGCTTTTGCCCACAAGTCAGAGAATACTTGAAATCAATGCATCTCGGAGAGAATTATTCTGAAAGATTTACAGCAATACAATACCTAGGAAAGTGAGATAAACTAAATATAGATGGAAACGGAACACATCATGTTGACTGTTCCCTCTGACCAGAAGAGCACATTATCTAAAGGGGAAACTGTTTAAGATTTGTAACTTGTCGGACCGTAAACTCCTTGGGGGAACACTATACAGTATGGGATGTTTACATTTGTTTTCTGGGCACAGTTTCTATGCAAGAATATAGGCAGTGTGTACAGTATGTACAAGAGTAATGTGATTTTTTACACATTAAGACATCAAAGAACAGGCAGAAATGTAGCAGTGTTTCCAACTGAAACATAAAATTGTGGAGCATGTAATCAGAACACCAACTGCAAAACTCAGAAGAATATTTCTTGACCAAACCCTAATTATGCAGCAATGTACTGTATAATCATTTCATATTTTTGAATAGAAATAAAGCAGAAACTAACTTCTAAGAAAAAGAGAATGCCACAGATCTTCACATTACTTAGTGCTATCCTGGTAGCCACACTCACTCCACTGGCCTGGAGGAAAAAAAGATTAGTGAAAGAAAATGAATCTCTCTCATTCTCCCTCACACCCAATGAAGGTTCAATCAAAATGTGGTTTCTACTTTCTACTTTTCAGCATTGAACTAACTTGTTAAATTACTTTTTTATTCATTCTTCAAGAAGACCACTAGAGTTGAACGGGGAGGATTGTGTTCTGACCGGTATGAGGCAAGACATTGAAGTGATACCTGTGAAAAGTTACTGCAATATGGAAACACTAGCAATATGAAGGGAAGGGCTTGTTGAACACAAATTCTGTTACACACACACACACACCACTCTGCTCAAGAAGGGCATGAAATACCTCTTGAAGAAAGATAAATAAATGGGAAAAAATAGCAGTTACCAAGCAAACTTGCTCATTCAGAGTGTCAGCTAAGCTCTGCAGTCCAGACAGCACTGACTGGTTAGCTGAAGTTAGCTATGATTTCAGCAGGTTGGGATTCCCCAAAGCGGACTGAGTGGACTCTAGTAGTCAGACAATGAATCTCTTCGCACTTTTTTATAATCTGTACCTAAAACCCCAGACTTCCCTGTAAATTTGTGAGAACATAATCTTAAGGGATAGATGTCTTTCAGCTCCCAACAGAGCATCTTGCATAAGCAGCAAGTGAAAAGTGTTTATTGAATTTGGCGGGGTAATAAGACTACACTCCATATAGTTTAAATGCTTTCACAACTCATTTTATCTACACTCAAGTACTGAAATGACCTTTTTACCTCCCTCTCAAAAATGCTTCACACTTCAGTGCCGTAATTCACAAACAATTGCTAAACTGCTAGCAATTGCTAAACTGTGTGCCAAATAAGGAAAAACTATGTTTTAGAGATAAAAAGCTTATGACTTTAAATCAGTTTGTTTTAATACAGTACAGTAAAAACAAACTAATTGTAATTCTAAAAATAAAACTATAAGCTGAACTTAAAAAGATAATATAGTCACACGTAGGCACAATTCATAAAATAATCCTGCTCCAGAATTTATAATAATGTGAACTCATACAGTATGGTAATTAATGGATTTAGACTACTAATTGTAGAGACTGGTATTATTCTGAAGTATATTTTCAAGTTTGATTTTCATAACCCTTCTTGTGGTTGTGTAAATGCATGCTATAGTACAGTTAAACGTAGCTGTAAACTGAGAAAACAGATGAAATGTTTCACATTTTAGAGACATTTACAGAAACTTGACAACAACAACAACAACAACAACAACAACAACAACAACAACGCAAAAGCTTTTAAGAACAATTTAATAGGTTTATCACAAAAAATGTTTCCATTATTACACTCTTTATACAACTTTGTAGCCTTATTGGAATTTGGCAAGATATTCAAGTTAAAAGAGATTGTAGGTAACTACCATTTACAAATGTGTCTAAAAACCTATAGAAATTTGACAAACTCACTGGCTAACCTCCAGAATGATGTTGGAGATGAAAAAGAGTTTTGTTTCTTAATTTCAATTTACCTCAGCAAATAGTCACTATACTGAAGTACCAATTCAGTTCTATTCAATAAAGGGCTGTAGGTTTGACTCCTTAAAGCTGTAGAAAAACAAGGCACTACAATGTGCAGTATGTCACTGAATATAGTGCAACAGGAGAGCAACAGATTTTTTTAAATGGGCAAAAAATAAAAAAAGTAAAACGTATTTCCTAGAATTATAACTTCTGTACAGTACATTAAAATACCCAGTGCATTGCAGATATAATCTGTTGCCCTAACATTGATTAACATGGCTCATTTACCCAGTAAATGTTTTATTCCATGCATGTACTTTAATATAGATTTTTATGTAATAAACAACTTTCTCTAAAACAACCATTTTGAACACAATTTAAAAAATATTTTTTTCCCCCCAGAGGTAACAAAGTATCTTCTGGCTGACCAAAATACCAAAAATAATGGTTTAACCTTGAGTAAGAGAATTCAGTCATTTAATCTGTTCTGGCACCGTCAAGAAATGAGTTTCCTCTTATGCTTGATTGGAGATGAGAATAATTTTCTGCAGCAGTGCAATACCCTTCTACAAATTGATTAACATTTAAACTCTCTGAGGAGGTGTTTCATATTAATTCTGCACTTGGTTTACACAGGTAGCATTCTACTGAAAATCTGCAAATTCCCCAAAACGACTCCTACTTGTAGATCCTTATCTTCAGCTTTCCACCATTTTTACCCATCAGAGGGAACTAGATTAGGGAACTCATAGGCTGTGCTGGAAGCATGCCAGCATGTTAAACTAAAGTCTCCTGTTACTCTTCAGTGCTTCCCTAACAATTCCAGATTCTGCATCATTTTGAAGTATTTTAAGTGCGGAGTAGCCCTGCTTTAGGAACAAGTAAAAGGATTATTCCATGCTGAAAAGAGAAGAAAGGAAACATTTTTTTTTGGCTGTGGAGCCTTCTTTAGGTGCGGCTCTACAACCAAAATGTTGTATTTCCTTTCTCTCTTTTCAGCATGGAATAAACTTTAACTTGTTCCTTTGCAGCCTATGCATGCTGACACAGCAACCTACTTTAACTATTTTGGCCCTGCTTTAGATTGGCAATACTGAAAGCTACAGCCAACATGCATCACAATCGAATTGAATGGTGGGGGGGGTGGGAAGAGTGAAGTGAAATGCAAGGTTTGGCCTTCTAGCATGATTCTTGAAGTGCTTAGGCCCAGTGCTGGCTTCAGTTCTGGGCCTGGGGTTCTATTTGTGTGGGGTTTGTATGTTCTCCTCTAATTCATGTGGGTTTCCTCCCACAGGCCAAAGACATACTGCTAGGTAAATTGGTTTCTGGGAAAACTAGCCCAAGGTGTGAATGTGCGCGTGTCTGTGTTTGTGTCTGTTCATATGCCCTACCCTGCAATGGACTGACATCTCGTCCAGGGTCTTCCATGCCTTGTGCCCATTGCATGCTTGGATAGGCTCTGCATCCCCCATAGGATAGCCCTGAACTGGAAGAAACCTTAGAAAATAGAAGGATAAATACTGCTTAACTTGATAAACATTTTTATTCATGTAACACAAGACTGTCAAAGCCAAGTCTCCAGTCAATGCTGAGGGCGTACTGCAGCACAAAACAAAGTACTGTATTGCAGCTATTGAAATTAGAAGTAACATAAAAATAAATGTTTACAATGTTCCTACTATATCTGTCTATTTGCCTTAATTACAGTATATATGCTTATAAGGATTCCTACAAAATGTGATTTTCTTATTTGACAAATTCTAAGGTCAAAGCTTTTAGCCACAGCATGTAGTAAATGAGTTCAGAAAATGGCAGCAAAGCAGCAACGACAATTCCAAGTTCATTGAATTTGTTACCCTCAACCTAATTTTTCAAGTTGACAAGAACATCACTTATCAACAGAGGCAGAGCAAACTATTAATGCCAAGTCACGATTGTGGTCCGAGATGCATCTTCAGCATCAGCATGCAGTACATGGTCTTAACTTATGCAACAGCTACAGTACATGTTCTTTGAAACTGTTTTTTTCTTAATATAACAGGCTATTTACAATGGAATTTAAGAGATTCTTTTAAAAAGTCCAAAAGCATAAAGTAAATACAGAGATCTTTTTCACTTTCACTCCCACTTGGCAAAATTATTATTTAATTTCAGTGGTTCTCCGTTTTAAAATTCAGGCACAAAGATTAATTCAGTATCATGTAGAAACCTGGCTCTATCCTGAAGACCTATTCACATTTAAGCACAGTACTAACTGTTGTAAAAAAAAAAAATTATGAAACTAAAAAGAAAACAAATGAAGTTTCAGGAAAAAAATACTGTTTTACAAAGCAGAGGAGACCATTCTTAACGTACTTACCCAATGGTATAACAGCAATGTAACAGTCCATACATGTCATTCCAGTCTCGTTAAGTTCAAGCATTGCTGGTCGTCAACAGTATTCCGCTTCACAGCTCTTCGAGACACTCGTCTTTTCTTCATGATACAGTATGCGGTGTAATACACTTTTGCTATTGGTAGACAAAAAACTGCACCACAAATCCATCGTTTATTGTCCGTGGTATCCTCAACATAAGAACATAGAGCTAAACGTACAATAGAATGCTTCAATGTATAATATTTAAAACGTGAAACTTTACTGCGTGCGATATAAATGGGGATTCCAATACTGGAAAGAAATAAGGTATTGTGATACAGTACCTTTCTTACCTACAGGGTACGCCTTCAGACACCTGAACACGTTGCAGGCACTCGTTGCAACTTGGAGATCATTACAATATCACATTTTACTTTGAGATACATAACGCATATCAAATCTTTTCCAGCAAACTAACAAACACGTACAGGATTCCAGCTTATCGATGTCATTTTCATACCCTGCTTTCAATTATCCTCTACAATACGTACAGTATCATTTTTATAAAACAGCAGCGTTTATCATGAGTCTTTTCTTACACCGTTTTCAACAACGGTGAATTGCACCGAGTTTGAGGATTTAGTACGCATCCGCGTACAGTATAGCGTAATGCGGTACGATCTAGGGATAGTTACTGTAGTACGCTACTTTCAGTTCGTTGCAGTTGTTCTGATATTACTCCCAAATAGCAATTTTCCTGATTAAATACCTTTTCATTTTAGTCGTGTGTACCCAATCCTCGTGCTCAGGGCCCCGTCATTGCGTTTTTTTTTAAAACTGGGCTCTGTTACCCAGCTGAGTATTTAATTGAACTACGAGTTCTGTTCATTTGAACTCCTTAATCGTTTTAAGTTCTTAAAAGGTCAGTAGATTTAAATGAGCAATTACATTTTCTAAGGGGAAATACGGTATTCTTTAGCCCTAACAACGACATATTTCTATTTAAGTAAACTAGTTCGTTTAAATTCAGTTTAATACTTTCCCCAGGTGAATAGCTCTTTAAAAATAAAGCAGGATGAGAAAACATGCTGGATTCCATGCATTCCACACGTAATGTTTCATCCTGACAAGTTCTTGTGTTCATTATTTATGCTCTGCCTGGTGAGGAATTCATGGTATACAGTATATTAACTATGCTAAATCACTAAATTTGGAAGGAATTAAATAAATTAATTCCTCTACATAAATTTATTTAATGTTTTTCCTGAAAATGACAGAACAATTATATGATATTGTACTGTATGTGACATAGAGCAGTAAATCTTACCTGTGATGAATTCACCTGCCACATGGTTGCTTTTTGTGTACTGTAGGTATATTTGCAGCGTTATTTTCCATGATGTTCTGTGCTTTTATATAGTTTCTTCTTTATAACCTCTGATCTATTTTATTTTTAATTCATGAGGAGGAAATTAGCAGGTGTCTTCAAACCATAAAGGTTAATTGTAAAAGGACCATTCTGCTCAGGGCAATTCACAGGATTATAATTTTCAAGATTGTTGGTAATTGATTGCAAAGCTCTAGTGAAGAGTGAGAAAAAAGGCCAAGATTTTAGAAGAATAAACATAAACACATTTAAGCAGGCTTTATAGATTTAGTACTATCTCCTCCCTCCTTTACATTTATCTCATAATCTCAGTCTAGCCAAAATGGGGACAAAGGGGTGACATTTTTCAGGTTTCATTTCTGTTTTTTTTCTTTGCTCTTCCACCTGTCTCCAAGTTATAATCTAACAATTATAAGCATAACATAACATAACAATCAGAAAAATGTATAAATACTACATTATCTATGACACTGCCCCCAAAAGATATGTACACACACATATATATATACATGAATTGTTTTCTGATTATTCTGGAATGATTATATTTTCTAGTCTAATTAGAATATAGGATAGGCTGCTGCCCCAGACAGAAAGCCTTCTGTCCAACCTAATGCACATCATATGATCTTGTAAGTGAAATTAGACTTAAGCGTTCTCTTGCAACCAACAGAGATCGCAGCAGAAACAAATCAGATTCTTGAGGAGAGATGTGTAATCGTGTGTTAGGTAATGGAATGGGGTACAATGTTAGAAAGCTGCTTGTCTCTGAAATGTACGCCATATCTTCAGCTTTTCTGCCTAAATGTTTTTTTTTAGTGGGACGTGTATTTTCATTTCAGGAGGTCAGAAAAAGTAACCTGCAGTTTACTCTTAATGCTTTAATAAATATTAAGTGTTAATTGCTTATCTTGATAATCTATAATCTATCATGTAAAAATACATATTTCCATTAATACCACTTATTAACTGATGTCCTCACACATACACAAGCAGTTTAACAGACAAAAAATACAATTTCATAAGCTTTGCTGAAATGTTGGTCTAAGGAATAAAGATATAGATTTGGGTATAGAAATGTATTTAAATCGAGAACAGGAGCACTTTTTTAATCATAGGGTTTGGATGTCCAGAACAAGCTACCCAGCCATACTGAGGATGAGATCCTTCAATCACTTGGCTATCAGCAACAAGTAAAGAGATATACCAAATAGTTCCTTTCATTTATAACCTTTCTCATGTTACAGTATGTGCAAAGGGGGAAAATGCCTAATAATGTATTAATAGGTAATCAATGTGATTTGCATTTACAAGTTTGCAATTGCAACAGAGTAAAGGGAAGCAAACACTGAGAACATATTCTATTATTACCCAATCCAGTTGAATCTAAAAGCAATATCATGAATATATCAAGTACACATGCGTCCAAAGCTCGTCATCAAGCTCCAGGACCTGGGACTGAACACCTCCATCAAAATCAGAAACATTTGGCTGACTTACAAACCAAAACATAAAAAGTAAATACAGAGTTATCCTTCAAAAACAATACATGATTAGCAATAATTGGATCCTGGACTTCTTGACGGAACGTCCGCAGGTGGTGAAGGTGGGCACCAACATATCCTCTACCCTGACTCTAAACACTGGAGCCCCCCAAGGCTGCGTGCTTAGTCCTTTCCTCTACTCCTTATTTACCCATGACTGTGTCACCAGGCATAACTCAAACTCCATCTAAAGTTTGCAGATGATACAACAGTCATTGGCCTGATCACAGATGGTGAGGAGTCTGCATACAGGGAGGAGGTTGAAACCCTGGCAGCATGGTGCCAGGAGAACAACCTCTCTCTGAACATCAGTAAGACTAAGGAGATGATTGTGGACTATAGGAAACATCAGGGTGGAGACCACACACCTATTCACATCAAGGGACTGCAGTGGATAGGGTCAGCAGCTTTAAGTTCCTGGGAGTTAACATCTCAGAGGATTTAACCTGGACCCATCACACCAACACCGTGGTCAAGACAGCACGGCAGCGCCTGTTCTTTCTCCGCAGGCTAAAGAAGTTCGGCATGCCATCACATATCCAGGCCAACGTCTACAGGTGCACTACTGAGTGCATCCTGACTGGCTGCATCACTGCCTGGTATGGGAGCTGCTCCGCACGGAATCGCAAAGTATTGCAGAGGGTGGTGAAGTCAGCAAAGCTTGTCACCAGCTGTGAGCTACCAAGCATCCAGGAGATCTACTCAGCTAGATGTCTGAAGAAGGCCAGGTCCATTCTCAAGGACCCCAGTCATCCCAGTCACAAACTGTTTTCCCTCCTACCGTCTGGTAAATGGTACCAAAGCATTCGGTCCAAGTCCAACAGACTACGGAACAGCTCCTACCTCCAGGCAATAAGACTGCTTAATAGCCAACCTGTAGCTCCTTAGCAAATCACCTGTAATGGCTACATGGACACACAATTCTCACTATATTCAGCATAACTCCACTACATGTATATATTGCATACACCATGGACACATAACAGCTCTACTCACATTGAGTTTTATTCAATTTAAAAAATGTCACCTCAATTTTGTGATTTTCGTGTTTTTGTGAATTTTTGTGATTTTTGTGAGCTCGCAGAAAAAGACATTTCATTGGCAGCAACTACTGCTGCACGCCGTATTGTTGTGCATTTGATAAATAAACTTTTATTTGATTTGATTAGATTTTTCAACACTTTTTTTAAACAAAACAACAGATTAGACAATATTAGACACGCCTTTCATTATAAATGAGAAAAAAAACAAAGCAATGTAAGTTTCATGATCCATTTTATTAGGTTTCATTGACTAAAGTGAACATAAAAGTACTGGCTAAATATAGTATACAGTATGTACTGTACCTTACATTGTTTAATGCACATAACACAACATACACATTAAAATATGTTCAACAAAACATTTCTAAAACAGATTAACTAAAGTTGTTGTTTTATGCATTGGGCTGGTGATTTGAGATTTTTGGTAAATGTAGATTTACAAAATAAAAGTTATAATCACATAAATTCCAATGTATTAAGCACTTTTAAGTGTGGTTATCTATTATTAATGAAGAACTTTACATTATTTAACAGTTGTCTTACCACGGAAGGCAGAAAATCTCCAGTAGAATATATTGAATGTAATGCAATACAAAAATACAGAAGCATCAAAATAATCATTGACATCACTGATTACAGAAACCAAGGATGACATACTGTAGGCTCATATCACGCTCGTTAACCCCTCCTCTTAAGGACGCTCCAGCCCTTTCTTGTTTTGTACTAATCCCCTGCACCTGCCTCCAGTTCCTGCCCCCCATCCTATAAAAGCCAGGCGTTACTGCCAATCTGGGCTCAGCTTTGGAAGGTCCTGGAGCGACACGGCTTCAATGGCATCCTGACCTTCTGACCTTCTGACCTTCTGACCTTCTGACCTTCTGACCCCGGGACTATGGAGGGTCTGGTCCCGTGATCCCCCTTTTATTCCCCTGACCCTCCGCCAGATCCCGCTCTGGATTTTAACTCTGTTCGTCTTTGTGAGGACGGATCACCCGGTCTTGGGCAATTGCTACTCTCTGGTATTTGCTACGGATTCCCTTGGACATGTTTGCCTTGGACACCCCCCCCTGAACAACAGCACACCTTGCCCTGTTTTCCTTCCAGCCCATTTGCATGCTTTTTACCCCGTGTTTTCCTCACTCCTCCCCGGATACTGCTGTCTGTGTAGGGTCCTGAAAGAACGCTCCGTGACAGATCATCTGATTAATGGGGGGGATTGGTAAAACGAGAAAAAGTTTAAATAAAAAATATTGTGATTATAAGTCTTGAGAGGCTTGCATAACCAAGTTACTCACCATAGCCTAAATCTCAGGAAGGCTGTTGGGTTTATTTTGCAGTCTTTCTCCATAGTTTTAATTTTTAAAAATCAGGATATCTGGGTAGACTAAATTAAGGTTAACTGAATATGTGAAAATGTTTCATCTACCCAAAGCACAATGTACCTTCTTTGTATCTTTATAGTTTATATCTTATTGTTATTGTACCATGGTCAGAATAGTTTATCAGAATGTTTTTAACTTAAAGTCATGATGTGAACAAAACAACAAATAATATTCTTATTAAGAATAAACACAACATAAAAATAGATGAATACAGTGAATTAAGGTTTACTACAGATATGGTTACACATGATTTGGTCATTTAACAGGAACCTTATGTATATACTGTATTTTAATAATATATACTAAAATATATCTGCAAAAAGAAATTAGAATTACACTTTGGAATGAATAATAATTGTAACAAAAGTGCAATTGTTTCAGATGTAACAGATATGGACACAGGGAAATATTTTTATAAAAACGATTAGCTCACATAATGGACATTGCAACTGATAACATACTATGGCATTTGAGATGACAAATAATTGGAGAGGTTCTTTGTGATGTAATTATTTCTATTCTTCCTAAATTAATGATGTATGTACACTCCTCCTAGTGCACCTAATTTGATATAGGTGAAAGCTTTAGCATCTTATCCTTATAGAACACCATCTGCTTCATGTGAAGAGCTCATGTGCAGCTCTGGAGTGAGAGTGGGTGTTCGAGTTGGGGTTCGGATAAGGTTTAGAGTCTGAACTCAGACGGGATACAGTAGCTGTTGAGGTCATTGTTATTCCACAGAAGAACATGGGGAGATAAACTGCACCCACTTCAATGCTAAAGTATGTGTTCTTAGAGGAAATGGTGCAACCCAGTTATTTTACTGCTTCAGTGAGTGTAAAAACGTTTACTGCTTTATTGAATGTAAAGCACGAGGATCAGCTGAACACCCTGAGAGTGACATTTTTGCAAGCTGTTTAACTACTGTACTTTTATCAAAAGACATTGTCAAAGTCTCTACAGCCATTCTCATCCTTTCACTTGTCTTAATTTAATGTTGCAAATTTCAAATGCATGTATGAATGTTTTGTAAAAGAAAATGTTAAAATTTAGGAATCCTAGTTATAATTTTGCTATTTTTAGATTAAAAAAAATACTATATATGTCTTAATTTGTCCTCAATGTGTCTCCTAAATCTGGAGTAAAATTGTAAGTAAAAATAATAATAATGACTACACTTATATAGTGCTTTACAGGTAATGGGGAATCCCCTCTACCACCACCAATGTGCAGCCCCACCTGGATGATGCGACAGCAGCCATAGTGCACCAGAACGCTCACCACACATCAGCTATCAGTGGGGAGGAGAGCAAAGTGATGAAGCCAATTCAAAGAGGGGATTATTAGGAGGCCATGATTGGTAAGGGCCATTAGGAAATCTGGCCAGGACGCCAGGTTTACACCCCTACTCTTTTCGAGAAACGTCTTGGACCACAAGATTTTTAATGACCACAGAGAGTCAGGATCTCATCCGATGAACGGAGCTTTTTTACAGTATAGTGTCCCCATCACTATACTGGGGCATTAGGACCCACACAGACTACAGGGTAAGCGCCTCCTACTGGCTCCACTAACACCTCTTCCAGCAGCAACCTTAGCTTTCCCATGAGGTCTTCCATACAGGTACTGACCAGGCTCACACCTGCTTAGTTTCAGTGGGCTGCCAGTTGTGAGTTGCAGGTTGATATGGCTGCTGGCGTTTAGGGTAGAAAAGTTTAGAAAGTATCACAGCAGTCAAGTAAATGTTGTTCTATCTGAACAGGCCACAGCATGCATTCCTCAGTAAGTATTACATTCAAATTATGAAACACTATAACCACCTACTTTATTCACTTCAATGATTTCTTGTTCATTTTATCTGATACAGTATTTCTACCATGATCTGACAATGCTCTTAAAATGTACAGTAGCTTACAGTAAAAAAAGCACCATGAAAACTGTACATTGGTCTCTCCAGGCTGCTTCTCTGTTGCTATAGAAACTCTCACACACCCTTGGTAATGTTTTCAGTAGCAGAAGACAAAATACAAAACAATTAAGCAACACTGTCAGTTCTAGAGATCCCCAGGACTTAAGCCTTATGTAAGAAATAACTTTCAAATGCTCTCAATGAACAGTGATAATAAAGCTAACACAGAGTGGGTAAATAGCTACATATCTACATTTTTAAACAAAACTATCCAATTAGTGATGATGTGATGTATTTCATATATACTGTAGATTTTATATACTGTACACTTTTGCTTAGCTACTGACATACCATCAGTTGAATTCTAATTAATGTTCTCAGCACACAAATAGTTAAAGAAAATAGTATAAAACTGCTACATTTGTGTATTTACTGTACATGTACTCATATAATCTAAATGGTTTAGCAAATACAATGGTTTAACATTTTTTTTCAGCTAATTCATATGTAAAGGTAATGAGTAAATTACATACACATACACAAACAACCTTAGTCCCTGAAGACAAAAAATGAAGAATTAAATGTCTTGAAATGTCCTTGGCTTTTTGTGAAGGTACAGATGTAAACACAAGCACACCTTATACAGTAGGAATCCTAGGAATCTCTCAGAGGGAGTATCAGTGATGTGTGTAGATACTTTGTTTTTTGTTGTAGCACAGATGTAGATACTGTATCTCTGAAGTCTTCTCAAGGGTTTGTTTCTAAAGGCTTTACCTCAGAAGTGTAAAATCTGATACCTCTTGTCCTTTGTTTTGTTTTTTTTCAAAAACACATTATGTTTTAGACTACTGATTGTTTAGTAGCCTGTATCCATGATCCAAGAATTCATACAACTAATAATCTAACAACTGTTGAAATGTCAGTCTCTTGAGAATGACCTCCCAGGACAAAAAAATAAATAAACAAATAAATACAAATTTTTATTTCATATTGTTCTGGAAACCAAAAGCATGATGTTTTCTAACTTTTATTTCTTGTTATGTACGGTACTCCCCACATTACTGAATACCTTCTTTTAAATGATAAAATAAGGGTTTTGATGTTTTTGTTCTGCAAAAGCATCTCTGGGTGGCATTATATGCCAAGGAGCCTGTTTTGGTAGTACTGTACATTCATTAGTGTAGATCAGGGAATACCCTTCGCTGGAAAAAATAAATACAATAAAGCTTACAAATAAAAGGAGGCCTTTCAGCCCACCCGGTTATGAAACTTAACTTGGCTCTTTTAATATATTACATTTTTTCCTCACTTTTTTTAGGTTTCATAATTAAGTTCTCTGATGTTTTGTGTCTTGCAATGTTGTGTTGTATTTTTTTAGAATCACACATTGAAGGCCTCAGATAGAAATACATATCGGTCAAATACTTTATTCTGAACCGAACACCTCTGTCATCCACCCAATTGCCACATAGCTATCTGGATAGTTCTAGGATGTAGAGCAGGCTGAGCAGGTGTAATTTTTTGAGGACCTGAGCTCAGGTGAAATTGTATCTGGATCCTCTGACTGCAGAATATCATTTTCAATGGAGATGATGTGCTTCACCAGGCAATTGGCAGCTTCATCTATGTTTATGTTCTCCTGATAAAAGGAAAAAAACAAATAAAATCAGAAACATTTGGCTAACTTACAAACCAAAACATAAAAAGTCCTTCAAATCCTTCAAAAACAATACACGATTAGCAATAATTCTATTCAAATTTAACCTCAAAAAAGTATTTTTTAGAAATGTTCATTAGCAAGGAATAATTAAGAACAATGTGTGTTATGAGAACTATGTGATCAATAGCATCCCATCGGGGGGATTTTCAATTTGCTATACACTAGAGGACCTGGAATAAGCACCGTGGAAATATCAGTGGAAATAATCCGCAATTAACAAACAAAAATACATGGAAGACTCAATCTAGAACTCACTCCCATGCACAGCATAATGTTTAAAGCAAAATATCCCACATTTGTAGTGAAATCAATAATTTTGCAAATATTGGTAACATGTAAATCCTTTGTTAATTTATTTCGGCAGAAAGAGACCTGCTCCTATAGTACAAATCCCACAAATCCCACAGTTGCAGCTTGTTCAGAAAATGGCTGGCTTAAAATATGATTTTCATTCCCACATGGGGATAAACTATGGTACCAACAACATCAGAACACATCTGGTTTCACCTGGTTGCTAGGAAACTGTATAAGGTCAAGAAGGCAGTTTAATAGCTCAAATATTATGAGTACAATAATTGCTTTAAACAGTATGTCTATGTTTAAAATCAGTTTCTATATGCTGAACATAATTATATCTATAGTGATTGCAAACATATACTTAAGGTTAGGCATGAAGTCTGGGAACTAAAATGAGAAACACAGGTCAAAATCTCACAGACAGCGATATAACAATATCTGCTTAGTGAATGTTAAATAACTAAAAACGACAACACAACTGCATACAGACTGTCCTGTTTTTTGCAATGTTTAACAATTACTGAAAGTGATGCTTAAGAATGATCAACTCTTATCTACTATATGTTCAGTAGGACGACATTCACATTGTGGCATTCAGAGCTACAGCAACAGAATGAAGACACAGAAAGGGGTTCCTGCTTTTAGAATTTGGTGCCTTTATACAGTATGGTATATTTGACAATTATATTTGAATGTCCTTTATATTGCTCCATTTCTCTCTCTGAGAAAAATAACATCTTAAAGAACAAATGCCTGAAGGGAAATGGTATAAGAATGCTACTGTACGTCATACTGAATAACAATAAACAATATGAAATTATTAAGTGAAACAAATGCTGTGAGTACCCATCAGCACAATTAAGACAGTATCATTACTGTCTAAATTCCCATAGGACAAAAAGTAAATACAATCAAAAGCTTCAGTCCTTAGCTTTAAAAGAATAATTTTGTAATTACAGCGGCAGCTTAATCATGTCATTCTAACTCGATTCATTAACAATAAAAAACTGTAGATACCAAACAATTCTGTAATTAATGAAACCAGCTGTCACTGAAGCAAGAAAAAAGTACAAAACCTCTACCGCTATTTAAGTATTGCATTCTATTTAATATCAACAACTAATTTAAGAATGGTCAAACCTGACCCACTTCAGTGCTGATTTCTAACAAAATCCCCTTGGACCTATCATGTAATGAAATACATTTGGCCATTGGCCACTGCTAGCTCTTCCACAACTTTCTGGTTGTGGTAACATTAATTATTGTCTGAGAATGTACTGTATGACATTCTGTACCAGATAGTTCAACAGAACAAAATACAGAATATTCATGTAGCAGAGACTGTTGCTTGTAATCATATCTTTAAATACAGTATAGCCTTGGGACATATTTAAAGGAGGTGCTGTTTAAAATCATTACTCTGTAATCAGTGTATAGCATCTAGATTTTATAAAGATGCTATAGGAATTTTGTAATTGGTGGAATATACTTTTCACTTTCATTCCACTGAAAATAAATAAAACGTTTTTTTGCTACTTAACCAAATTCCATTATGATTGCTCTTACATATTGGCGCGTAGCAATTTCTTTTATGTATATGATGCAAATAAAATACTCCAAAGAAATAAAAAAAAACACATATTTACACAGCTAGAGCTAATGGAGATTTGCAATGCTTCACTTTTTCATTTGCATTCAAACGTTTGCGGATAGCTAGGATAATGAACTGGATTATAAATGTCTACACCTCTGCTTTACACAAAAACTCTTAGCCTCTGTCACATTCTTCTAACCTCCACTAAATTGGGTTGCTAAAGATTCATTATTATATTATCTATCATCAATTGCTTCAGCTGTTATTTTTGGTAATCACACACCAGTTTTTGAGGCCCACTGCCTGTTTGAACATGGGGCTATGCCATCCATTTAATACTGTATACCTAAATATTTTCATAAACATAATCACATTACTGTAGATCTACAGTTCTTTGAAACTTTGATAAGTCTGTTGTTTTTTGGAGGTTTGTAACTGATTGTAATTAGTTTAATGGCATTGCCTTTTTGAAATGAACATTTCTGTATGTAACAAAAAAAGATTTTATTACATACCAATTGGTACTTAGAGCACAACACTGTCAAAGGTCTCATTATGTATCATTGTGAGGCATGCTGCAGCCATTCAGTGGAAAATGTCTACTAAGAAATAACGAAGTTCATTTGTTTAATCCCCAGACTGTGCTATAAAAACTCTGACATTCTAGAATTTAAAAGAGATGAAAACACAGGTCCCATGACTCATATTAAATAGTATTCCCTGGTGTCACTTTACAGCCCAGTTCTATTGCTTAGGATTTTATACACTCTAAAAGAAAGAAGACATGGCTGTCAGCAGAATTCTTATGAATTCTCTGGTGAGACTTTCCAGCAGTAGGGACAGAAATGTTGTGCCATTTTTGCAAGTTATTGTACCAGTTTGGTATGCATGCCAGTTAGGTTACACTGTCATTTTAAAATCAAATCTAATGTATTGAAGGTCAAGTAAGATATAGTTGTTGATTCACAGTATTATCCGACGTGAAATCTGCATTTACATACCAAAGGCAAATAGGAATACATTAATAATTTCAGTTTACAAAATCAAGTTTTGTCTTTTTTTTGCTAAACAATAGCTTTATACTGTATCTGAGGAGAAGAAAAATGTTCATACAGAAGAGCTAATAACATGCATCAAAAGTCAAGCTAATTATCTAGTATTTGTCTGTGAAGTCTAACTTCTCTTAGATACTTTCAGAATCTGGAATGTCTGTGCTAATACCAGCACACTTTGTTGCTACAAAACACAATCTACCATATTGCCTGTGCTGCCAGTCTGCTGAATTAACGAGAGAATGGTTTATAGTCAATGAACACCACACTGTACTTAGTGACCTGTTTAAATTTATGACAGAAATTACTTTAAAACTTTCACTGAAATAACATCAATATCCGAAAAGTAATATTCATTTTTCTAATTCAATAGAATTAGAACCTACAATAGCTATTATGAAAAATCTGATTGTCCACTTATTAATTATCTCTTACACTCCAATGTTCAAGGTGTGTTTAAATTTCACAATTTCTAATTTACTACTGTATCACAGCTGATGTTTCAAAAGAATCCTTAAGCATATTGTACCATACTGCTCATTATCTCTTCTGTGTATTTATTTCTAATATTCTTTTAAAGTAACAACACCGACAACATATTCTGATATTATTCTCTATCTGTTACCACAAATGACACTGTTTTAGGCAATTATATTCAAAGTTATACTTAATGTATTGAAGACGGGTATTTGGTTTTTGGTTTGTATTTTACAAAACAAAAGAATAGGCTTAAATTCTGCATTAAACAACACTCAGTAGAAATGTTGAATGATTTACAGTAGCTGTGAGAATTTCAGTTTACCAAAGCATTTAAACATCTTCATCAAGCTGGCTCCCAGAATAGAAACTATTCCATAAACATGTCTGTGTGAAATTACCCTCATTAAAAGAGCACAAAAAGCTAACAAAAATTACACATTTAAACATTTGCTGTTGAAAATGGCTAAAAACCTATTTTTCTTATACAGTACTTCTTATCATCGGTGGAAATAGTAGCAGTAGCAGTAATATGCAATTATGCAAACATTTGAACCCTGGGCTTGGGAGGCTATACTAAGAAAAAATTCAAAGGGAGCACTAATAGGAAAAAAAAAAAAACTCTGCTTCGAATTATGTATGCTTCAGTTATTATGAACAGTACCCTTGAAGAAGCAGGGTATTTTTGAAGTTCAGGACTGAGTGTAGATATAAATTTAGTGTGTCTAAACAAGTGAACACAAGTAAACTAATCAATTAATTAGCCCTGGAGAACTACAGCTCAGCTAGAGTGAAAAACAGCAGATATAAAGTGCCAGATGAACTGCTATTGGGAATCACTATGCTTAGTTTAGAATATTTCTAATGGCAATGAATGTCTGTTTTATAAAAGAAAACTCATGCCACGGCAGAAAGGAGAACATTGTGGTTTCCCTGTGGCTTAGTCCGTGCTGTGAAAAAAACTCTAATGTTCAGTATACCAATTTGACTGATGTGTTACTGTTATTTAATCCCTAAAACTGTATGGAAAAACTAACACAGCAACCCCTGAATTTTGAAAATCAAATGGCTTTAATTTTGAAAGATATAAATGACTATAAAATACTTTGTTTTATTGACTAAACTATAGAAACCTTAGGAAACATAACATTTTGAACTGGGTTTAGGATTATGTAATTTTAAGATGTTCATTTGGGAAAACACCATATTACTAAGTACATTATACAGTATAAAGAATGAAACCGCTACCTTTGCTGATGTTTCAAACCATCCCACAAAGCCATTTTCTTTGCAGAATTGGTCCATCTTGATCCCATTGTTTGTTAACACGTCTCTCCCTTGATCACATTTGTTTGCCAGGAGCACTGTAGCAACATTATTGCCATTAGATAGAGTCAGTTTTGAGTCCAGGTCCTCCTTCCATTTTGTCACTGCTTCAAATGTTGAGGGTCTTGTCACGTCAAAGACAATAAATGCCCCCATGGCTTCTCGGTAATAAACACGTGTCATGTTTCCAAACCTCTCTTGACCTTAAAAATGGTAAAACAAGAATGAGACTACACTTAGCGATTATTAGTTCATAATGAAAGAACAATGAAAATGAATAATGTATTTACTGTAAAACATATGCATCCCAATAATGGCCCATGCAATAAGTATAGGAAAAGTATGTCAACTCAAATACCTGACATTATCCAACACAGAATAACAATTACTACTGCTCTTTATTTTATCATTAAAATTCCATTTTTATTGTCCTTTTTCATCCTTTCAATGAAAGTACGAGAGAATCATATTGTGAAAAATGTGCTCACATAGGATTTTCCTAGCTAGAAATCAAAACCATAGTAATACCATTGCTATCTCTGTATTTATCTAGAGTACTACAGTATAATGTAGTTTGAGTTTCTGTCTGCTAGAAGAGATGAATTGAAAATACAGTCTCAGTACTAAACCAACTAGTTACATAGACCTTGTGATCTCACATTAAGGATTATCAGATGAGCAGCTAACATCATGTGCTTGGCAGTAATCTCTTTGTGTCTGACCTTTAACGTATTGTATCTGTGGGTCAAAATAATGCCTCAGCTGAGAATCAATCCAGCTGGGTGAAAGTATAAATCATAGAATGAATACCATGAAATTAAACTTTTATATTTAAACATTTTTCCAAAATACTTTTACCTTTGGAGTTTAACATCAATAGTTTTTGAAGCATGCGTATTCTTGCACTGTTTCATCAAAATATTTTAGGAGCACTGTAACAGATATTATGCTTTTTGCCAAATAATTAGTCATTTTTTCTAAAGACTACATATTTTCTATTTTAAAAGTATTTAACCAGAGTTAAATACCTGTTGCAAATCCAGAGGACAAATATTTCAAGTCATTTAAAAAACTTAAAAGATTAAACATTGTAATTGAATATAAATTAGGAATGCAAAGACATCCTTTTTATTCTGTATCTTTGTTTTTTTTTAAGTATTACTCTCCAGTATGTACAGAAATTTTAAAGAACATCTTCTGTATTTTGGAACCATTCCTAAACTAATATTATTGTGAATGATTTGTGGTGATGTCCTTTGCTATATAGAAGTCAGCAACATGCTTACAGATGGTGAGGTAAAAAGCAGCATTTCTGTGTTGTTGGCTACCAAATGAAAATTGCAGCATCATTGGGATGCTCTTATATTCAGCTTCTATTTTCTTTTTACAGTCAAATTCAGTTCAGGGCAGTTTTCTTTGCTTTCTGATGCACAGGTTAATTCATTGATGGATTTTATTATGGGTTGCCTTAAACAAATGGTTCTCTGAAAACTGATCTCTTCAATGATGTTAAAGCTGTCGGTACCACTTTGGGAGCATCTAGTCTCAACGTCAGGAGCTGAGGGAGAAAACTGCCATCTGTCAGTATCACCCAGGAGGTGGAGCATGAGAAGAAAGGAGAATAACCTCTTCACATCACATCTACTGTAGCCAAACTGCAAGATAGGAGCTGGTGATTTTACCTGTGTCTTGTTGGCCTACGTGAAGTGCCAAGGGAGATGATCTTATTAAAATGTTCCAAAAGTAAACTGATACCTTTGGTGCTCACCACCAGACCCACTGAAACCAGGATGATGGTACATAGGATTTATGAGAATGAATGGAGGGATAACCCTTGTACCTTTAACTTTAAATTCCTTCTTTAACAACTAACTTATTTAAAAAGATAATACTTTATCTTTTAAGAAGGCAGAAAGCTGGATATGCCACTTCAGCATAACCTTCCGGATGCTCTTCCCAGATTACATTTTCACAGAAGAGAGCAAAACATTTTGCCCCATTTGCAGAAACTACAATATTTATCAGCTCAAAGTGTGGAGCTTTGGTCTACTTTAACTGGACTCACTTGGATCAAGCCAGTCTGTTTGACAGGTGTCATTGATTTGCCTGTAATATACCAGATATGTACTATGGTGGATTCCCCTTAAGATGTGGGCTGGAGGATATCCTTAAAAAGACACAGCTACAGTATAAGAGACTTCGGGTTGTCAGTACTTTAGCTTTTACAGTATGAATAGTTTACTAGATATATAAATGCTTATTGCATCTAAATTGAGATTTATCACAGGATATGTTTGTATGGAGCTGTGTAACAGGGAATTTAGTGTACAGGTATTTTGGAAAGATATTTTGTAGACTAGGAGAGCTGAGTGTTAGTAGTAGTCACTCTATATAAACATTCACTGTTCACTTTTTCAACTTATTAAAACCTTACTAATGCCAGGAACCATTATAGACCTTCTGAGTTGTATTTTGTGGGTTTAATTGGTGTAGTTTTTTAACTTTACCACTGAGCCTTTGCCTCATCCTGATCAATGATGATTCCCAAGTTACAGTACTATCAATCTTCAGGTATAGAATGGTTTATTTGTGAGTGACTAATTGCAGACAAAAATATTTTTACAAGGTTAGTGGACATTGGGATATCCTTGCGCTCTGCCTGGTTAAAAGAAATTACAGACTTTTTACGGAAAGAAGCACAGCTGGATTACATTTTTTTAGTGCAGAAATTGCAAAAGCACAGTCAGATACTTTCTCTCATCCTCAAAATGTGCTTGATTAGCCCTACTGTTTATTTCTTGTGAGGAGCAAGTTTAGTAATCTTTTGTTTCTGTGTTCTGCTTTTGTCTTTGAAGAAATGTGAATGAGGTGGGGAAGAATACTTGTATAAAGTTTGTCATTTGTTAAAATATGTAAGCTTTTACAGAACATCATTTTAGCTGATTCAGAATGGATGTTCCTCTATGTATTGCATTTAATTTGTTTTTTGTTTTTGTTTAGCTCTTAACATTCTAATAAATTATATTCTAATAAACTGTAATAACTGTAATGTATTTTTTAAAAACAGCAAACCTAGTTTTCAGATCTTTGTATTAAAACATCCATATAGAAGACTGATTTACTGGGAAATTGTAGATGGGATTGCTCCAAGACAGATAAAATCTAAGTAGTTAGTAGTCAGAAAAAAAGCAATGACACTACTTGAACAAATCATCATGTGCACAGTCAGGGAAGAGTCTTTTTAACTCCTGGGTAATTTCTGAAGTTACTGCTTCTTTGAAGTCCACTAACTGTGACTATCCAGTGATGCAAGTTACACAACACTGCCTGCCAGACCTATCTACTTCTATTTTGGATTGTCTTAAAATAACAAAAGAACATACATTTACAGACAAAAAGAGGCCATTTGGGCCATCTGGTTAATCTTGTAATCAGTAATTAATTGATTCAAGGATCTCATCTAGCTGTAGCTTGAAGGAAGCTAGGGTGTTGACTTCAACAGCATGGCTGGGTACCTTATTCCATAATCCTGCAACCCGTTAGGTAAAGACGTGCCTCCTCTTCTTGTTTTAAAATGCACTTGCACATAAGTTTTCGCCTCTTCCCTCTGGTTCACATTTCAGTGTTCATTTCTGACTAAATCGTTTGGGCTTACTTTGTCAAAGACATAGAGGTTTGAACTTGCATCATCATCCCCTCATAATCTCCCCATTTAGAGAATACAAATTTTCAGTTGCTTCCAACTGCCTGTGCAGTACAGTACATTCCCTTAGCTCAAAGAATTGTAAGCGAATGGTAACAGTAAGTATCCGGTAAATGAAGAACGTGGTAAAAATCTTCTATATCTCACGAAAACCCCTTGAACTGTGATGTGTTGAACTTATAGCGTAAAATAATGTTTTAAAAGAGAAAACTTTTTTCTCTTTAACCACTCTCTCATACAAATAAAAGAAAACACACAAACTTTAAATAGCCAGGGTGCTGTAACCTCTGTGCTGCTCGGGGTGGCTGAAAAGAGAGACTGCGTGGGATGAAAAGTGATACCCCATGCTGTGGAGCTACTACACTATTTGCAGTTCTGAAATATCTGTTTGGATTAGGTGTTTAAACATTAAATTTAGGTAGTTTATGTATATTTCTAACACTGAAGAAAGCTCCAAATGACATGCTAGATTTATGCAAAATTAATCCAACCTCCATTCATTTTCTGAAGTATTTTATCCAGTACAGGATCATGGTTGAGCCAGAGCCTAACCTGGTAAGCAACAAGTATAAGGTGGGATACACCCAAGACGTAACCCCAGTCCAGAGCACACGCAGACAGAAACACATACTCACACCAAGGCCAGTTTTTGCAAAAGCCATTTAACACACCAGCATGTCTTTGGACCGTGTGAGGATTCTCACACGAACACGGGAAGAACATAGATAGCATCCCAAGTGTGGAATTGGACCCAGGTCCTTACCACTGTGGCACAGCAATGCTAACCACTGTGCCACTGCACCACCCTATGCCAAGCTCATTATTTTAAATTCCAATACAGGGTCGTGCCCCCTGGGGATGAGTACCATATTTTGAATTGAATTGAAATTCTATTTAATGGTTCTGATGACATCCAGCACTTGCATATAAGAATCTTTTTAACATGCATCGTGGTAGAATCCATGTACTGTACCTCTTGCATAGTAGCAATTACAATGACTTTCTGTTACCAGCTTGAAATCTCTCTCACATGATACAGAAACACATGACTTACACATATCACAGACTCCTGAGTAAGGCCTCGAGGCGAGAGAATACATCTCTGCAATGTGGAACAGTGAATTTCTCAAGCTTTTGACAGTCACGCGAGTGTGATCACTTGAAAGAATGCTAAGAGTAGGTGATACACTGCTGATTGGTATAATCTTTCCTTAGTCATAACCTTTGAAGAAAAGACTTTTAACAAACTTTGGTTAGAAATATGTGCACTTTTTTTTAAAATCCAAGCTGATTAACATTCTTTCAACAAGAGGACTTTAAAGTAAAGGTCAGTGTCTTATTAATGGTAATTATAACATTGGACTAAGTTTTCAGTTCTTTAAAAAGGACAAGAAATGTACTATTGAGATTTAGGTGTACGCATGAATTCCTTAGTGAAACTCAAAAAGATCTCATATGCGTAATATAAGCTCAAGTGAAATGTAAAATATACATCACAAAATAAAAACATAACAGCTACAACCCATCTCCATCCTGGTTAAAAACATATTAGGCTTTTAACTGGGAATTGAATTTATTAATTCAATTAATTGTATGCTTTTCTACCAGGCTTATGTTATAGTAAAGTTACATTGTTAGATGGAATTGTGTTTCCAGGTACTATTGGTTTAAAGGCCAGGGTTTTTGTTCCAGTATTACTGGGTTTAAAACCTTTCTCTTTATCCAACATACATGTACAGTTATTAAGCATTATTCTCATTATTATTATTACTATTATTGATCTATTGTTATATATTGTGTAGTGGTATAAACTTTATGATTTGCCTTATAACAGTATTTTAAATTGGAAATAAATTATTCTATTGAATAATAGAAGATTTAAAAAAACAATTTTATAATAATAATTGGAGTGCCAACTATTTATATTTTTTCACAAATCTATAAATTAAATATACATATTCTCAGTACAGACAACAAGGGCTGTTTTTTTAATAACGGTTAAATGTGTCATAATACAGAAAACAACTTAATATCCAAAAGGGCCACTGTTAAAGAGAGTTTGTAAGTACCATTTAATAACCAATTGATAATGACCTTGGAGGCGTAAAATTAGTTTAATTGCAAAATCATTTAGTGGAATTAGATAATTAATTTCAGATGGAATGAAAACCAGTGAATTCTCCTACCAAGAAGGAATGTCAGGAATGAACAAAACAATAATCGTCTTACGTGATATCCATCTCCTTTTTACACGTAAAAGGTATAACAAGGTTGCGTAAAATTATTTTTATCCAAACATAATTTACATGGACAAAGGCAACAGCTAACTGTAATTTAATTTGAATTAAGCGCCCGGCAAAACAACCGCCGCCACCCCCCCAAAAAAACATGCACTTCAAAAACTGGAAATGAATCCTACAGTATTATCAGAGATACTATATGGTTGTATTCTAGATAAAAATACTGCAAATTCGGTGTATGACCTTTACTAACGAACTACTATTAAGGCTAAAACTGGAAGGTCGTGCATACAAAATGTATTTTTTTCCCTGATTAGTAAAACGTTCAAAATGAATAATTGGATCCACTTTCCTATCACACTTTGCAAATTTCTAAAAGATTGTAGGTTTCAGAACACCTTACTGATCATCGCTAAGAAAAACCATGCACAGTCCTACCTGCTATGTCCCATAACTGCAGTCTAATAGTTTCTGTATCCCAGTTCAAAACTTTCAGTGCGAAGTCTACACCGATGGTAGCTCTGTAATTCGGGGAGTAATTTTGGTGGACATAGCGCTTGATAATGCTAGTCTTCCCCACTCCTAAATCCCCGATTACTAAAATCTTGTAAAGATGTTCTTTTTGGTTGTTCTGCATGGCGAGTGCTGATGGCTACTGACGCAGATCATGCCCCGTATAATCCTTATTCATTGAGAATTACAAATAAGGAGTGGAGTTGTATAAATGGAGAAGTAACGCCCAGAGGACTTTTTGCTAGAGGAGTGACAAGACGCTGCTAAACTTGTGATTGCCAACCTCCCGCTCACAGGCAGAAAGAGAAAGGCCATCTGTAACTAGCCCTAAGCACTGGTCTCGTTTCTATTCAACAGGAAATTTTCTGATACTCCTAACTCCTTATGTGCCATAAACAAATCCGAGGTAATATTTAAACTGAACGTTTTCTAACCTGAGTTATGATCTATCCAAGAACAGAAAGTTCAAATCTGTCGTTCTAATCTGTTTTATACTCTAACAATTCAGTTTCTAATATGCAACTGTGTGAATTTCGGAATGTGAAATGTATAATGCTTAGCTTAATAAAAAAAAGTACCCTTTCAAGGGCTCCAAAGAAGATGCTTATTGCAATTATTGCAAGTTTTTCTGCCAATTCTCCTCATAGTGAAGGAAAGGTGGAGATGTGTCATTTTATCAATCACGGTGGATCTTATAAAACTGACACTTCAAAACCTAACTAAGGAAAAATCAAATCCTAAATAAGCCATAGGCTTATAAACCACTCTGATGTAAAGTAGAATGTATAACAGTGGTCTAAAGGATGTGAGCAGGGAAAGATGGTACTTTGTAATACTCTGTGTCACCTTTACGAAATGTTACAATTGAAAGGAGGCCTTTCAGCCCACAGCCCATCTGGCTACCTGTAGCTAATTTATCCAAGGATTTAATTCTTTAAGAAGACGGTCGGATAGTTGGTAGATGGTTCAAAACTCCCTGAACCCTTTGTGTGATTGAATGCCTCCTAATCTCAGTCCCAGGTCTTGTGGGATTTGCTTAACCCATGTATCAGAAATAAGCATCCTAACCTCTCTAACAGAAGGCACCTCAGTGTTGTCCATCTGCTCTTCTTTGCAAATTCCAACTATCCATTTTGTTACGGCTTCATCGAGTTTAGGTTTGGGAGGTAGTCAGAGCCTAATCTCAGCAAGCAACAAGCATATGAGGGTAAACCTTGAATGAGACGGCAGTCTATCACAGGGAAAACGGATACAGACATGCACACATTCACACAAAGTCTCATTTTCCCAGAAGCCAATTAACCTACAAGTATGTCTTTGGACTGTAAGATGAAATCGGCGCTCCCAGAGGAAACCCACACAAACACAGGAAGAACATGGAAATTCCACGAAGATAGCACCGCAGGGCCAGATATTGAACCCAGTGCCCCAGCAGTGCCAGGCAGCAATGCTAACTACTGCGCCACTGTACCACCACACACTCTGCAAAGTCTCAGTTAATAAATTACGTTACGCCGCCAAATAATTCCGGGAGTTATTTAAAAATATACTTCAGAAAAAAAGACTACTACTCCTCTTTATAATTCAATGTTTTACAGGGCACATCAAAATACTGTAAGTAAACGCCAGGTAAGTGAAAAATGTATACTTTTTTTCTTTCATTAGCTGATGAACGGTGATTCGAATGTTAATTGATCACATACGTCAATATAGAGATTAAGAAAACAGACCCACACTAAGTTAAAAATAGGGCAGAATCTCATAGTCAAGTGAAGTCTGCTGTTAGCACTTATACAAATTTGGGTAAATTGTAATAGTGAATTTTATTGAAATAATGTACTTTTTTTGAGCAGCTCTTCATACACATTAAAACCCACATTCAAAAGTTGGCTTTATCTTAAATCTTGAAAACGCTGAAACTGTAACCTTCTCACAGGTAGCAACACAATCTAGGATTCATATTAAATGTTAGACTGACAAACCTGGGATCAGTTCAATCAAGAAGCCAAGGGAAGAAGAGAGGAGGTAGTTTTCTAATGAACAGTAAAATGCATCATGAGGACCTCAAGTGTGGATTACAGCCTTAAAGGACTCTTTTTCCTTTTCCTAAATTCTTATTGAATATGGAGCGTTTCCTCCACATCTGTGTCATAAATGTTTGCTCATGATCAATGTGGTTAAGAAGAGTGGAAAGAAGGACAACTGCACTACAGCCCTAAATCTTGATGGCCCTCAGAAATGTACAGGAAAAATGATTGAGTGACTAAAATGATACATTATATGAAAGAAATAAAGTAAATAACATACTCAGATCAAGAAAATTAAGTGTTTTAAACATTAAAAAAATGAAGAACAAAGCTGAGATGACAACAGTGGCTAAAAGGCACTACTGTAGATGTGTAGGAGACCCAGATTTCTGCACATAACCCTTGTCAAGGTCCCTAATTTCATTATGGTGGATCTCTTTGTCCTTGCACACACCTACAGTATGTGAATGTACGTGTTAACAGTACTGAGAAATTCATGCTTTTTATCATCAAAACCAAAATGTCAACATCAATAATGATCAAGTTCTGTAATATTTAAAGAGTTGTCCAAAACACACACACACGCATTTATTTCACAAAGCATGTTTACTTAGTAAAACATAAAACACTTGATTGACAATTAAAAATCACAGAAAATTCATTTGATTAAGGAACACTGCAAATTCCTTTAACCACATTGATTCTGTATCATACATTTCTGATTTACAGCTTAGGTTTAAAAAAAGACTTTTCCCTGAAATTTGAAAATTCAAGGGAAGCTAGACCTACTGTTTACAATAACAAAATGAAGACACAATCATGCTATCTTCCCTTTAAAAATGAATCAGATAAAATGCCATTTTTTTTCCAGTGCAATTTGTAAATAAGTAAACAATCAATCAAAGGTGCTTTCCAATCCTGCAAAAACAACTGCTCTATGATAAAAGATACAGTATAATAAAAGAAACCACATGCAAAAACAGATACTTTTGGCAAGCAGGTATTCCAGGATTTCACCGTTCAGTAAATCATTAACAATTTATGTGAATGATAAAAAAATAAAACCAAAATAAGTAAAAAAGCACAAATACTTGCAAAATTCTCCTTTTAGCAATAGGCTACGGTGTCATTGTTACTGTACGTCTCCTTGTTTGCAATTAGATTACTGCCAATATGGCTGGTCAATAATTGCTGATTAAAGCCAAACCTCAAAACTGTAATTTTGTTTATCAATGCAGTCCTGTACCCTGTAGATCCTAACAGGAATGTTGACAGCATCAGCCACAAACAAAGGAGCTTCACTTGACCAATGGAATCTATAACTTTGCAATGGGAGTGGCGGCCACAGCTATACTTTCTATAGCGCATTCATCTGTTCCTCGGCGGATCCTGAAGTAGCCGTCCTCCCCCCATCCTGTTCCCCAGCTGTTTTTCACAATCCAATACTTCTCGCCTGTTTTGGGGTCACTTCCGTAGCCTACCAGCAGTACAGCGTGGTTTGTGAGCTCAAATGGGTTAAATTCGTCCATCAGACCAGTGTGGTGGTAAATACCTTCTTTGTAATTCATGAAATCTGGGTACACCTCAAAGGCTACTCCCATTGGGCCATTCCTGACCAGTTCAAGTCTCATCTCGGCCTCATTGCATGCCCCATAGAAGCCACCTACATAATGGTATTCGGAGGCGTAGTACCGGAAGCAGCTGTCCTTCAAAGTGCATGGTGAATCTCTGCCAATGTAAGGAAAGCAGCTCTCCTCCACCACTCCAAAGTCTTGAATATACTTTCCAGCAATAAGATAAGGGAATCCTCCATCACATCCTGCAAAGATGAAATTACAGTAGTTACTGGCAATAAAAACAGCAGGAACAACAGAAAGCCAAATAATCCAAAAAAGCCGATTACAGATTTGCAGTCCTCCATCAGTAAATGAAAGATAAAAGGTTGAATGTTCCAAAAACAGATATAAAAAACAAAAATGGAGCACTAAAACAGAAAAAATGACAATTCTCCTCAGATAGCTAAGGACAAGTAAGCTTTTCTTTTCAGGTTTCAATATTAAAAACAACGCTTGACTCACAGGTCAATTCCATGTGAAAACGTCATTCTTCCACTCCAGAATGTATTAATAAATGGAACACAAATTTCAACAATATTTACGTCTGAGAACTGCCCATTCATATTAATATAGTAGTAGTTAATGATATTATGATGCAAAGGAACAAGTAATACAGTAGGTGTATTCCATGATGAAAAAAAGAAGAGAGAAAACACAACATTTCGGCCGTGGAGCCTTCTTCAGGTGTTTAAATATTCCTTTTAACATTAATTAATTGTTGGAAAGTCAAGCAAGTCACCAAGAAGTCTATACATATTGTATATTGGACACAGGTCACAACTAGGTTAGAGTGTGTGTATATATATTATAACCTTGTTATTATGCTAGCAAAAAAATTACTTTGCTTTTACTTTATCTGCTTTTAACTGGTTAACAGTAACAAAACTGCTAGAACATTGATCTCTTCTACTGCACTGACACCACAGCCTGGCACAAGATGTTTTAGTGATTAGACAATCCCTGTAGCACTTCTGATCAGGTCAAAGAAGATAAATAGGAGAACAAATTGCTCAGACTGCTGACACCAGTTTGTTGAGTAATCATTCTGATCACAAAAATACAAAACACATAGAATTGGGACTCATCCAGATATTAAGATGCTCATAACATTTTCCTGGCATTTAAACAGAGTTTTAGATGCAAGTGAGGGATCAGGAAAGAAATAGCTGAAAACATCCGGGAGGCTTAATGTAGTCTAAACGAGACTCAATGCTTACTCAATATACAGTATACTGTGTATAAATATATACTATACATTTAAACCTCCAGTTTTGAAAACATTTCAAATTGGATAAACGAAGAAATTAAACGTAATGATCAAGACAATATTATTAAGCCAAATTAGCTGTTGTTTAACCATCTTAAAATAAAAGCTAAATTCTAACCCTCAACCCTCCTCTGCCCCATCCTGTTTCCTCTGCTGAGGAACCTGGGAAACTGAAAGTCAGATAGACAGCCCTTATTTTTACTGAAGTGCAATACACATGGTACTGTAGACTTTTAAAACAAATATTGCATGGTAAGACCATGTGTGCTCTGAGGCATGTGCACTAAACAGCATTACTCTTATTTAGTTTGAAAAAGGAATGTGGAGAATTCTGTTCATTTATTGGGAAATGTGCTACCTGAATCTATGGACAGCTGTACAAGGTGAACTAATAACCTGGGAAAAGCAAAGAAAACTACAGAGTGAAGAAGTGTTTAAACTCCACATACAGTAAGCTACTACACTGCGAGGTACAGAATGGAATAAAATACATTTCTAGGTAAGACTGCAGTGACCATTGTTCCTTTATAGATCTAATCACTTGCATTTGTAAATTTATGAGTGAGAGTTGGCAGGGAAAACGTTCTCACTCCGCTATCCAGAACCGATTTATATTGAAAGATCAGTTCATGATTTTAAATACTGTTTTACAATAGCAAAGGTTTAGAGAATGCACTGCAAGCGAAGAATAAAATATACAATTATGAAAAAGGGGGAAACAGAGAGCCATTTAAAACCAAGTATTTTCATTCAATGCATTAAAGGGCTTGCTGGATTTTTGAATCCGGAAACTTTATTCGCAGGAATTTTGCACTATTTCGAAATCCTACCTTGAGAATATTCGCTGCAGGAAACCACTTGCTGTGGGCTGAGGACAGGCTGCTGCGTGTTGTTGGTCAAGATGCGAATGCGGGCTTCCAGCATCCCCATCGAGGAGAAGGAGTAACAACTTCCACACGAAGCTGAAAAAAATATACAAGGCACAACAAAAAAAATCAAACTCACTTGCAGCTCAGATTGGTGGTGAAGACCTTTTCTTTTGGAATGAACCCATCAGGTTGGTTATCTAGGGTTATGTTAATTTACTTCAGCGAGGATTTGTGACCACAGCCATTGAGGGACATAAAGTCTATGAGTTTTCAAAACCTCAGGATTAACAGATCTTGGTTAGTATGCTGTCCCTGTAGCCCATTTTATCCTTAATCTGTTTTTTCTCCATGGGAGACCAGTGATTGTGCATGATGGGGTACTCTCAATCCACCTCACTGCAGCCCTGAAAACAATCACTTGTGATAACATCAAATGCTCAGCAGGGGGCATAAATAAATTTCCTTTATGTGCTCAAGACTTCATCCTAAACTGAAATCCTGGAAGAACAAAGCACAATGATCAGCAATTAACCTATGCAGGCAGAAACAGTCAGGCTATACTGTATATAGTATAATAATGTTGTACAGTCAACTATACAGTAGTTATTTCAAATCTGCATTTGTTCCAAGAAAACGCATGACAGAAGGATGCATGCAACTGAATAGAATTGATTATATTCTAAATGACAAAAATATGTAACAGAAAATGTATTTTAAGTAGAAAAATAATAACAGTAGACGATAAGACAGGTGAACATCATCCTTATTATTGCAGGCAAATAAAACAGGTCTCTTTAAACACATGCTGAGCAATGCCATGTGGTTTGTGTTCAAATAAGAATGTACATTATTTTTTTCTTCATATCAAGTTAGCACTGCTCAGTTAGACTGATTTGCAACACGACAGACTGTGTTGACACTCTGACAAGACAAGTATATTACCTGCTGTGAGAACTGTAAGCCTACTGTATCTTGAGCAACTGGGTTACACATGCAGAAAACATCTTGTTAAAAGAAAGCACATAATTACTTAACTATAGCTGCCAAGTGGACAGTACACATGCCAATACTTTTTTCTTTAATCCCACATTGATTTTGAAAATACAATGCAAACTGTTACTGATTAGCTCCCAGAATATGGATAATGAGTATTCCAGATGACAATTCGAAATATTTAAGAGTTTTTTTTAGCTTCCAAGTTCTATGAAGTCAATAGATCTGTTCCCTGTTGGGAATGAGAAGTATCACTTTTATAAAGGTACTACAAAAAAAAAAAATCAAAATCTGTTTAATCTAATAGTGTTTAAATATTTCTCATGCTACCCTAAGCAGTGAAGCCACATCATTCCAATTCTTATGTCTTTGTATGCACATTTGGGGAGATATCGAAATTTTAACCTTTGTTTATAATTTCGTCCATAGTGTAGTCCCTTTTGTGTTTTTTCTGCAGTACTAAATCCTCAAGTTCTCTATTACCAGCTAAGATCCTCAAGGTCCTTCCAATTCTGACAGGTCAAAAAGATAAAGCCCTTCCACAGCCCTAACTGTCCTTACTAAACATATATGAAAGATCAGGATTTTGAAACCATTGCATCTTCATAGGGTTCACATTACAGGAGTTTAGAGGTAAAGACACACTTCCTGTCAATGGACTCAAAATTGTTTTTCTGAATGGTTCGGACCATAATGTCTTCAGGTCATCCAACCATGTGCCAAATGATTAAACATTTAAACATTAAACATTTGAGAATAACATCATAAAATTCTATGACCAAATGATTACTACTAGTTTATCATTGTACAGGCCATACAATTGTGAAAAAACAACTCTGACTTGGTGGAAAAATGCAATGTTATTACTGTATATAATGTAGCCTTTCCCTACTTTTAAATGCATCAACCTCTCTCTCTTATCAAACTGCATCAGTAAAAAACTAACATCTCTACTACTGCAAGCTGGAATTATCTTGTATTGCTGAATAGGCACTGGTTTTCACTGGAACCAGAGATCCCAAAAATGTACAGGTCTACTACCCACACGATTGGTTGTTATTTACGTAAATAGTGGGTGCTTTTCAGGAAGAAGGGAAGAGATATGCAATTATCAGAGATCCTTCCCTGCCAACAGCACAGCTGGCTGCTTTAACTGACAACTTGAACTGCCAGTAGACAGAGTTCCATCTACTCTGTGCAAAGGGAACCACATTGCCCTCTGTTGACATGTTCGGTTATTGGAAGAAACAGCAAGAGCTTAATGAAGATCGGAGTAAATATTTTTTAACCCATCACTTTCTAAAGCATGGAAAAATTGAGTATTCATCTATTAAGTTTGCAAGAATAACTCTTTGTCGAGTTTGCTAAATAGGTTTAATATCTTGCATTATCCTATATTTTAGAAACCCTCAAGGTTCATTTACAGATGTTCTCCCAGAAGTTGACGAATCAAATGTTTGATGATGACTTTCATATAAAAAAAACCAGGAGGTATTGCAAATATCTGTATACAAAATGAAAGTGAAAATACAGCACATTCTAAGCTCTAGACCAGTAAGCTGGGACTTGCAATATATCATGCAGATGCTTTCAAGCAAGTGTCAATAAGCAATTGGAAGAATTTATGCCTCGTGCATCAATAACCAGGCTTAATGATTTCTAGGAATTTCTAGAAAGCTCACGCAAAAAAGAAAAGTTAATCATGGACATGCGCTTGCATTGCAAGACTTTACTCATATTAGCTTGATGTTATGTAAGTTAAAAGCTGTAACAAGATTGGGCCGTAGCACGTCAGCAAATAAAACACTGGACTTAAGTTTTACAATGGAAAAACATCTAAGATCGAGATCAATTGCTTGTCTTAGAGTATAAATACTGTTTAACTCACACTGTAAATTACCCCCTTTTAAAAGCATAAACATACAGTATACTGTACATATTGGCTTACTTTTGACGTAAAATAGCTTCAGATTTATCTTTACATAAATGGCATAGATCGAAAATGATGAAGTGTGCATTTAGATAGAGGTGTTATGATTCACATTTCTGATAATCACACTCTATATGAAATGGCGTACTATTTTGAATACTGCTGCATTTAATAAGGTATATCATTCCCAATTTTGAGATGATATACAAAGTTTCTTTATGAAAAAACAAAACAAAAATTAGTTGTTCATTATAGTGTAGGTCTTAAAAAATACAAATCCTTAAGAATTTTTATAAACATCAAATAACAGAACAGTGTCTTCACTAGAATTCACTGTATTTGATGTTATTAGAGACAGTATCTTATTCCCAAAACAATTTCTAATAGAGTTTAAAATTGATTGTAATATTAAATTTGTTACAATCATGTTATGTTTTCTTTTGTCACCTGTGTGTTGGTCAGTTTTTACAGAAAATAAGATGTACACCTTGTTTTTCTGTTATTCGCCTTATAAGTTGTAGTTTTATAATGTGGTCATCAAGATTAAACTTTAGGAGACAACACTGCATGTATCAAACCTCCAAAATAGCTTCTTCTCCAGAGCCGTCAAGTTGGTGACGCCCCCACTCCCTCCCATCATATTATGATCTTTTCTAACGTCTTCCTATACTCACAAGGACTGTACGCCAACACCACTACACACACATGTAAGCAGAAATTGTACTGTCCCTTCAATAGCTCAGTAAAACTGTATCAGTCGTAAAATTTATTAATTACCATACTATTTTTGGCACTGTTCCAAGAATTACCTTGCACTGTTTTTGTCCTGTTATATTTTCTCTGTTTGTGGAATTTTGCACAGTTTTGATTACTTGATTACATATTATTTATGTTATGTTATTACACGTTACTGTTGTTATTGTGTTACTGTCTGTTGTCTTATCTTCTGTCCTATTTATATACTGCACCTGAGTGACTAATGAGAAACACGTTTCATTATACTATGCACCTGTGTAAGTATAATGACAATAAAGCTGAATTGAATTGAAAATTCCATTACTTCCACTACATCACTTTTCACCCGTATCCTTCATAAACAAGGCTGTAGAAAGGAAGACCGAACGCTGTAATCGTGTTTAGTTTTCTCATTTCGCTTCATCTTTCCAGCTTGCTGTTGTATCCAAACTGCATAGCAGACATTAAAACTTGACCCACTGGTCAGGTAAAGCAAGCCACAGAAAATTGAATTTAAGTACTCTCACGTAGGTGTAAAGGGAGGCTTCATTGTAAATTGACAAACAAGGAAAGAACTGACTGAAAATAGGCAGCACAGTGCTGAAACATCATAAGCAGCTCTTACAGTCATTAAAGGTGCCTGAATCACACAGCTAGACTATGGCATAAGAGTTATCAAGCAAGACTAGGTGGCAAACAGCAGTTATATTAAAAAAGTATGTAAGCAATAAGAAACAGATCTCGACAACAGAAGCCATCAGCGTTTTGATATCCCTAAGATAATGTACAATATTTTCTTTCAGTAATATTGTTTTAATATTGCATCATTGCAAACTCATTTTAATACCTTTTCTAAAATACGAAAGAAGGCTTATTCATCTTAATTCAGATTAAAATCATTGGCTTCTGTTTTTCCCTGAAGAGCTAGATATGTCTAAACATAAAACAAATGTTTTTACTGTCTTCCAGATTCTACACAGAAGTGAGATTACCAAACACTTATCTTCAAGCTTGTTCGGATTAGCTGTGCGACGATAGTAAATTATTTAAAAAAATGAATGTCTTTGTAACAACTGATGTGATTCAGTCATTTAAATTTCCACACAGAATAAAATCAACTTGTATCTTTGCTGAACAGGGACAGATTTGTTTTCTATAAGCATTTATCTTTAAATTCCAACTGTTTCTTATGGCCTAGGAAAGATTATTAATTTTCTTCTCTGTAATTTAAAAATATATATTTAAAAAAAAATATATATATTTTGTCCTATTTAAACATTTCAATACTTAGAGAACATATCCCAGAGAGGAACAATTAAATCCAAATTAATCACAAATGCCATGTTCAGAATAATTTGTCTCAATAATGGAAAGAACAATAACCTAATACCTGTATATACTGTACATGTGAAACATCTGTATCTATCAATAGGCTTTAGGATACTTTAAGAATGTAAAAAAAGAACAAACATGCTTCGGTTTATTGCTTGCCCATTTTCACAATACAATAAATGTATTATTGACATGGCTGCTTAGGGTGAAGCTGGTATCAATTTTTCAACTGGAGGATGTGTTAGTGATGAAGTGATGAAAAAGAGATTTGTGGTTGTCACTGATAATGTCTTAGCCTTTTCACAGAAGACATTTTATTGCACTCTACTGTGGTGTGGTGAACAGGAACTAGGTGGAAATACAGTACATAGTGAAATACAATGAGATCTTGAAATGCCAAATGATCAACCAAGCAACAACTCCATCTAGACTAAAAGAATAATGCACAGACCCATCTGGACAACGTTCCGTAACTAAGATATTCACCCAACCATGGATCTTCAATTTCTCAAACAGAAATTGTCAAATGTCAAAATCTTAGCAGCTGCGAATGCGAATGCATGCAGCAAGAGAATGAGACTTCCAATTGTTCAGGGCTCCTTGCCATTGAATCAAGACTCCATTCTGTCACGTACCATGTGACATTTGGTCTGCAATGGCTTCACCACTATAAATGCAATCATGCAGAATTGTATTCCATGTAAACAATGTATTGCAGGACTTTGTACAATTTTTGGAAGCTTAAAATTATAATCTGAGAAAAAGGTGGGAACCAGGAATGTTTTTTCTGCAGCTGTAATTCTATCTGATCTCTCCTCACCCCAGATGGGGAATGAGTTACTGTATACAACATTTCCTAAATATAGTCAACCTCTAGAATACCTGGCTGGATAACTATGTTGAGTGGGATCACCTTTGCAGCGGTTGAAAGCAGTCACAAAGTGAGAAAATGAATGTTGAACAGTGAATCCACCAGAGTACAACACTGTGATTATAGTCGGAGGATGACATTACATTTATGCTGCTGCCCCGAGTAAGGCTTGGTGAGCTAGAAAGAAGAAGCTCAAGTAACAAGGAGGTTGCTGTAACTTCGTAAGGGCAAACAGGAAGAATACCAGCAGATTTGGTTTCATTATTAAAAATGGACTGAAACCAACTGAACTTATCAGTATCAAGTGTCTAATAATTCACCACCGCAAATTAGTGAGGGGTTAATACACCAATGTCATTAGTGCATATACCCCAAATCTTTATACTGATTAAATCAACCAGGAATGTTACCCCAAATTTGAAAATTATTATACTTTATAACTTCAACTACCAGAAATAGAAGGGACTCAAACTCTGCAATTGAAAAATGAAGTGCCCCCAAGTCCTCCATCATCAGCACCCGCAAAATGACTCTTGGGTTCCTTCCAGGAAACAACAGGCAGGATTGTATGCTGAGAATGAGTAGGAGATGTAAAGGTACTGTATATCAACCTTGAGTTCATGGCCTTTGTTGCTTGGCAGAATGACAGCATCTTTGAGGTTCAAAGGACATTTCACAAGATCATACAGCAGGAAGACAAGCTGAAGGAAATCTAACATCTTGAAAATGACAGTGACAGTGCCACAGAATGGTCTATGATGTGAGCACTCAGAACTTAAGAACTTAAGATCGGGGGAGATTTGATAAAGGAGAGAGAAGCTGTTTGTTAACATTCTTGGAAAGGATCATTTCAAAGAAATACTCAACTGGGACTGCTATTGAGAATGTAATCTATCCCATTCTGCAAAAAATATAAGAATATTATTAAAATAAAAATAAACTTGGAATTTTCCAAATCTTTGCTGAGGGGAGGAAGGCCACTAAATACAGCAGATAAAAACAAGTTGTCTGAAATTCTCTTGATCTGAAGTCTTCAAGATGGAAGGTGTAGAGCTCACTTCACAGCTCCACACCCACTTTTTGAAGATCTGGAGTGATGAAAAAATCCCACGTGACAATCTTCAAGAAAAGAGGTAAGTCCAACCATGTATTAAAAGGAGATCATCTTTCTGTCCATCACAGGAAACATCATCATGAGAAACAAGAGCAAAGAGCTGCTGTCGAATCTGTGTGCTTTTAAATCTTAATGAAAGAGAACTAATGTTGAGGGCCATGAAAGCACTTCAAAGATGTGCTCAAGACCCACAAAAAGAGATGCAACATCACCGCCAATTCATTGGAGATCACTGCACAGGAGTGCTGCCTCAGATGGAGAAAGAATGTACTGTACTGCAATAACTTCAGCAGCACTTCTAAACCTCACAATGACAGCAGTACAAAGAAAAACAGGAAGAACAGACACAGAAGCAGCATGTCATGGACCATACAGTATAAACAATGCTGGATTACCCTTTCTAATCTGGAAGACATAACCAAAACTACAATAAAGTCGAACTCTTTAAGAATGGGATTACTAGAGGGTCACCGTATTGACAATTATTTGCAAACTTAAGAGAGCCATGGCTGACTATTCCCACCCTACACTGTCCAAGGAATCCATCAGTTGGTGACATGAACCAGGCTAAAACCTGCAACTCCTGGATGGTTAAACTCAGACTATGGCTTTACATGAGCAATACAGGAGGCCCCAGTAAATGGTTTTTAAAGGATCTATATATCATTTACTGTAAAGGTTATAGAACTTCTAGGTCACTAAATCACTAATTTCTGAATGAATTTAAACTGCAAGATTGGTTATATTTTTTAGTATAAGCTAAATATACAGTACATTACAGTTGATTTGCTAAAGGAGCTGCAGGTTGGCTATTTAGCAGTCTTATTGCCTATTTCTTCCAAGGCTCACATTATTTTATCAAATAAAATACCGAAGATATTATGATTTAACTGTAATTTTGCTGCAGTCATGATGATCACAGGAATGACAGCATCCTTACCTTGATTGCGGACAGGGCTGACATAATTGACCCCATTAATGTTTCTCCAATCCCATGATTCAGGCAATCCGGCAGCGAGCTTGGCTACTTCTTCTTTAACTGGAGCTGGTTTTAGGCGTCTACAGAAAAGGAAAAATAGTTGGAGTATTTCTGAGATAAAGATGAATATGTGAGTTTTCCTTTGATAATGTCTGTCACCCTCAGACTAAACACTCTATAGAAAAGAGTAGGTTCTGCATGTGGTGCATGAAAGAAAGTAATCTCATTGAAGGAAACCAAATTGAAAAATGTGAACGTACTGTAAGTGAACTACAGATTTCTTGATTACCAAGTTAACATATAAAAAAAGAAAAGTCTGATTATTCATCTTAAAACTGATCGATTAAAATCGAATTAATTTAGTAAATAAATTGTACCTTGGTACACGAGAGCCATGACCCCCAGATCTTCTGAGCAGCTCTTGAATAGTAAACATTTCGTGCTCACTATAGATGGCTGCAGTCCATGATGTCTGAATGGCATTGACGGTTCTCACATAGTCTGGATTTTGTTTGTAGGGCTGTTGTAATAGTCTTTTTTTCCCCCAAAGAGAAACAAAATGAGAGGATTTGTTTAACAAAAAGCTTAATTGGACTTTTTTCATGCACTCTTAGGATTTTTACTTTTTATTTGTTCTTATGAATTTAGGTTTTTGTAAACGGACATATCCCAAAACGTTAAAATAACATAAACGTGTTTAAGCATGGAACTGATACACAGAATATTAAAATTAGGACTTTAAAATCTGAACTCGTGTAATAATAAATAATACAAAATACCAAATTAATTTTGTTTGTAGATAATATCAGGGATGCTTCCGTTTGCTCAAGATGCAATTTGCTAAAAACTATATAAATAACATGTACAAGAAATGTACGATACTTACAGCATTTGCTTGGGAGAAAGTGTATTGCTAATGGAGGATTTTGGTGGAATGGACTTCACCTTTTTTCCTACAAAACAGGCCCAGTTGTGTCCCAGGACATCATGTACCCATCCTGGGAGAGTCTGATCACAATAGCTTTTTACTTCTGCTCCCTCCTTCTTGTACTGTGTTCGGTAGAGAACAATTCATCACAATAGAATGCTAATCCTACAAAGCCAAATCTTTTGTAGCATTTAAACCGCCCCCAGAAACCAACAAGCCAGCCTTAGCATAATTTATTTTGACAGGTATTACTTATGTAGTTAAAGTAAAACTTAATTTATCCTAACTTTAGCTGGGAAACTGCATTTCAGCTTGTCACACTAAAGATGATGCACCAACACTTGTGTAAGTCACAAGTTGCAGTACACATCGTCTTTACAACCAGGAGTCACATGTAATTTCAAAAAGTACACAGCTGGCAAGGGCTTAGAAGGCTTTATTGTAAAAAAATGTGTTTACACTGCATGAATATACTAAATAGCCTATTATAAATGTTTTTGCAGCATTTAGATTCAATATCGGTGATTATAGGAGATTGAAGTGTTTAGCAATGCCAAAGTAATAGCCCAGCAGTACTTTATACTGTAGTATCCGTTATGTATTACACTGCACTTCTGCTTTTCTTGTCTTTTGATTGCACAGGCCTGCAAGACAGACTGTTCCCAGCATCCAACGCGGAATAAACGTTATTATTAAATTATCCACATCAAGCAAGATACACTTCCTTGTTCCAGCTAGAAGAGGAAGCAAAGATCAACTTAAACCTTCTACCATTTCTGGTTGTACTGTAGGTCTCCAATGTAAAATGAAACGTTGCAGGATGCATGTTATTCTTACAGGAAGTTACTGGTCTGGGCCTCATGCATATGAAGGATCTTATCTTTGCATAATACCTAAGCTGCGTTTCCTTGCACATCACCATGCAATTAGAAGAGATAAAGGAGGATGTGAGCTTGAAAGCATAGGAGCTCTTACAGATGCAGTGTCTGAAAAGAACAGACAAAATGGGGTCAAGCTGACCAAAATGCTTCAATAGTATTTAAGCTTAATAAGGTGGGGGGAGGGGGGTGTCACTACACATGGGAACCAGAATTGCTTAAACAGTGTGGATACATTTTTAAGGATTCTCTAAATTTTATTCTAGTTCCATCCAGCTACAGTATAAACAGCTATAAAAGACCATGTGTGGACGGCAAAAACGAAGAATCATATGAAACCAACCTTGAAAAAGGCAAACCATTTATAGTCCGACAGAACCACCTCAAACCCCTGGTTGTAAATCAAAGTGAAGAAACCTGTGTTTCCTAAATCATCTGACGCAACATCCAGCTTCTCGAGGTGGACAGTAACGCTTTTTACAGCAGGTCCTAAAGGAAAGATATAGAATTATATATACAGTAAGCACTTCTGATGAGAATCAACCCTATTCCTCTCACAATTCAAACCTCTTTACCTCGATCGCTGCTACTTACAATATTATTTTTATAAGTGGTAAATCTTTATTTTTCTTCCAAAAACATACACAAAACAATTACTTACTGTACTAATATCAAATAATTTTGTTTCATAACAGTGGAATGACATGAGCGGTTGTTTATAAACAATTATTAGCTACAAATAAAGTCATTGAAAAGACTCCACATACAGTATTCTGTACTGTACATACGGTAGACACTGGCTTGGAAGCCCATTTTTGCAAAGATCGTTGCTTATTTAAGAACTTTTACAGTACCACTTACCCATGTTGGTACAGTTTATTGCTTTATCTTGACCACCTGTCGAAACCTGAAAGATCCAGGTTCCTACTAAATCTTCATACGAGCAGTTGGCTGGGGTATCGCAAAGCGAACTTCTCACCCCGAACGCAAAAATACACAACAGTGCAAGTTTTAGCTTCATTTCTTTAAAAAAATGTACTTATGCCAAGTCGTCTAGGTCAGGCGTAAGACAAATTAACCCACCGTTCCACAATAAAAAGCAGTACTCTATACCATCTACCTACTACTACAAAAAGTAGCGTTCGCCCTTCCAAAAAAGTCAAATCGAAACTGAACTTTAAAACTGCTCAAGCAGCAGGGAACTTTCCGTCCTGTCATATGACTCGAATTTTTCACGTGATTGCGTATATTCACCAGGTTGAGAAATGGATGTTAGTCGTTTATGTGAAGTATTTATTGGGCACGTAATATACAGTAATATAAACGACATTCGGGGTGAAATAATAATGGTGATGAATGTGATGACTGGAACTTATTGTTTGCAAAAAATAATCAATTACAAGGTAATACAATCACAGACTGGTCAAAACAGAAAAGCGAGACATGAGGTGTGCAACTGTTACTGCTATTGCTCAAGCATACATTATACGTTATTTGATGCTTTAAGATGTTGAATTGTAAGATTTTATATGCACAGTACTGTAAATGTACTGTATAATGTTGGTTAAATCACTTAATATTTGTGTTCCACTGTATATTAAGAAGTTGTAGTCTTATATTAGGAATTGTGTATTTTCAATTCTAGCCCATTGACGAAAAATATTACAATGCATATTGTTACTGACGTATTGGTGGCCACTTAAACTGATTATTTTAAACATATTTTACTTTACACATTTCTGTGATTGCACCTTCAGTATACATTTCCAGAAGTATTATTCTTTGATTGCAATGTTTTTAGGGAAATAGGATTTCTTTTTCTTGTTTTACATGCCTAGTCTAAAAAAAGGAGATTGTATGAGTGCTTCTAAATTTGTCAAGCCGTGAAGTTGACACACTTCTAGGGTAATATGGAGTCAGAGGGAGGCAGGTCTGTTAACGTGGTGAATCATCGTCATTTCCCTCCCACCTCACGCAAATTTCCCTTACATAAGTATGATTATAAAACAAACACCCTAGCACACAGCCACTCTTCAAAAGCATCCTGGCATACTGACATTAAAAAAGTGACAGTAAATCAAGTGTTTACATTTTCAGAAGTAATAAACATATTTGCTTTTGTGTGCAATACCCTCACTACATTGTTGAATAAAGCAATCGCAATTCAGCTCTCTTCCCTACACGTCTTACTTCCTCTTAATCTTTCGGCAGGCTCGGTATAGTGGCTATTACCAGCCTTAAAAATAGCAGCACAACATGCTTGTACAGTACCGCTATGGAAATGTTTCACCGTGAATAGAATGACTGTCATTTTGACTTGGTTTCAATTGTTGTCCTTGATGGGAAAAAAAAGTTCACTACTGAAATTGAAATCTCTTTCACAGACGGTCTTCACTCTCGTCTCTGTAGACGGAATGATTTAAACACCTTCAATACAAAGGCTGATTGAAAAAAAGAAGAAGAAAGAAAGTAGTTTTCAGCTAAATATGCCTAATATCGATCTATTGAGAAAATACCTGGTTAAAATTGGAGTATAAACCCCTTTAATCTTTGGAACCAGCATTCTCTACATATATTGTTTAATATTGTTATTTATATATTATTTTTCATTTTCCATTAGTCCTTCACTAACAACTGCAGAAAAATATAAAGGTATTTTTTTTATAATCAAAGGTATATCTTTGATTATACTCTATTTGGAAGGGCTGGGGCTAAGATGTTTGTAAAGCGTATAATGAAAAAATCAATCAATAAAACTTAGAAATATTGCAGCTGTACAATATGATCTATTTAATGAACAAAGAAAAGGTTTCTGAACAAAACAGTGTAATGAGCATACACATCTTAAAATCTTTAATGCCCATGGTTTTTTGCTATTTATTCTAAATGAATTTATGACAGTTGTATTATGTCTGTTACTGCACAACAAAGATGTCAGGAGATTTGCATGTAATAAATATTCCTTTGTTTAAGAACTTCCAGTTTTTAAGGTACCAATTAGAATATGTACACATAGTAAAGAAGAGTTCTGCTTTTTCCTCCTTCATCCTTTTTAGGTATGAAGGCTAGAGAAGAAAAATGTCTGTGGTGATGCAAAAGAAAATAAAAATTAGCCATCTTTGCAGAGGGTCCTTGAGCATCTACTATTGAAAGAAGCTCATAGAAAACGAGAGACATTGCCTTTCGAGAAAGGACACTGGGGACAATTAAACATAACCGTCTGTCTGTCAAAAATATGCTGCCCTCACTTGTTTGAGATAAAAGTCACATTAGAAAGGACCTTAAAAAATGTGACATTGAACCCCATGTGACATTCAGAGCTATGATGAGGAAATAATTGTGACTGATGACAGGTAACAATAATATTGTATATCAGTGCATTCGGGGCAGCTTTTCCCTCATCATGCAATATTCGCCTGTGTTTTTTGCTGAACATTCTTCCTACACAATCATAATTAGATAATAGGGTCATAAAGGTGAACATGGGTTAATTGGTATTTTGTTAAAGTCTGCAATGTTACAGCCCATTGATACTGTATATGTGATTTGTATTTTGTGCTAACTTTTAAGGTCATCCCCTACTGGCATAACCACTTTCCTTCATTATGATAAGCAACATACAGTAGATAAATAATCAACCAATTCTAGAAATCACTTGGACTATCAGTGAGGTGAAAAGGGTATAATTGGTACAGTTTTCTAATGCACTGTGACTTTTCATCTGTGTGTGTAATGGCATCCAACTGGCAGCATAAAATGTCCTTGAAATGCAATGTGAGAACTAAGTCTGGACTAATACATGATAGCAATTTATTTTTAATAAATGCTGATACTAGTTCTCTATGTTGCAGTAAAGAGTGTTACTCTACTATGCTGATTTGTCCTTCGTGTTTCAGAGCAGGATATATTTCACTGTTTGAGTTCCATTTTGGGCAGAGTGCCAGTGGCACAGTGTTTTTAAGGCTATTCTCTTACAGCTGTTTTCTCCTTTAGTCACATTCCTCCTGGTCGCATGGATACATTTACTTTCCAGGTTTGATCTGTATTTTTAGAAAATGCTGCCCTGAAACTTTTTTTAAAGCTTTTCAGGTTGAGAATAACATTATCATTTTCATTTTCGCTTTAATAAATCATATGATAAATAGATTTAAATTACTATGAGCTTTTCAGAACATTAGAAAGAACAATCTCATTAGACTTTCAATGAATCAGAGTGTCTGAGAAAGCAAAGAAAAAAATGTATCATATAGCTTTGTATCTTTTGTAACATTTTTGGGTGGTGTATGGCGAAAACACAGTGGGCAATGCTTGCAATGGGCAAGCCTTTGGGTTTATCACAGTCAGATTTGGGGTTCAAGTCCCCAGTGCAGACACTGTTACTGTTACTCAGTCCATCCAGATCTACAGTATGTGTTGGGACAATCGTTGGTTCCCCATCCATGGGGAGAGAAAGGTGCTCTTTAGTCCACTTAATGCCATGGAAACTAGGATGAGCTTAGACCAAAAGAGCTGAAGTAAACTTAGTTACAAAAAGGGTTTTTTGGCAAGAAATAAAATTTCAAACATTTTCCTCTTATTGTCGATTAAAGTAACTAAAGTTTAATACTATTTGTTTGTTCCATGCTGAAAAGAGAAGAAAGGAAACACTCGAGCCTCAAACAGACACCCAAAGAAGGCTGCACAACCTTTTCTTTCTTCTCTTTTTAGCAGGGAATAACTTTAATACTATTCTATACCTAAATACAATCAAGTCCTATAATTATATACAGTAGCTGTATGAAAGTTTTCAAACATGATGTTGCCTTGCATCAACCTTGTTATTTTGTTTATCTCTCTTTCTGAATGAGATTGTGAAGCAAACACAATCTAGTGATGCTGTATATCTGAATAATTCTAGCACAAGCTCCAAATATGAGTTAACAAAAGTTGCTAAAATGGCAAGGATATTTTTGCATGGCTTTGGTACAAGGAAAATGGGAAATTCTCCCTTTGACTTACAACTTTGAAATCTAAATGAAGGCTACCTCTTAAAATGTGTAATTCTTGGGTTAGGTGTGTATTGGTTTTATCTGAGTATATTGCAAATCAATTAAATGTTAAGATCATTCTTTTAAAGTACCAGATGGAAACTGAGCTAGCACTTAAAACGAACAGTTTTACAAGAGGTAAAAAGTTATTTAGAAAGAGTAATAAATGTATTAAGTCTAAGTTTTGGATCTATTTGATCATATAGGAATTATCACAACAGTTTAATAAAATAATGAAAGAGGCAATATTCTGTTTGAAATGATAAAACACAGATATGATGACAGCAAATTAATATTGCATTGTACAAAAAAGGAACACTGTGCCACTCAAGTCTGCATTGTTTCATAGGCAGGTTCTTTATAATGAGACCAGCTCTCTACATGCAAAATGCTGCTTGAAATATGCAATGTGACAAGCAGCTGTTATTGCTTATTATAACAAGCGCTTGTACTTATGGATCAGGTGAACCTTTCAGATTGCAGCATACTCAGTCATTTATTCTCCACTGTAAATACAAAGGCTGCAGCTGATACTCTGCTCTTCATCAGATGCACCTATTCAATGCAATGAAATTAGACAAAGCTGGTCTGCTCTCTGGACACTTTAAATCTTCCTCTAATCAGCACTTCAACACTCAGAAATAATTACAGACAAAAATAATTATGGAGAACACGCACACTGTGAATTGTAATTAACAATGTATGGGGAATCTCTTTAATTTGTCTTTTATTTTAAACCTCCATATAGTGCACTTACTTCATTTACTATCAGCTGAGCATGTCACATCAGAATTGAACAAAATAACTTGTCAAACTAAACTAAATAGAGGAGAAAGAAAAACAGTTCTCAGACCACTGCATCATGTTCATATTGGTAAGCAGTGTACAAAGACTACAGCTGATACTGTGTACGGCAAGCTCAAATTAAACTGCTAAATCTCTCACAGAAATAACACAACCTCCTGTAAACTAATGCAAATCAGTCAGAGGTCTGGTTATATTCCACTGCTGAGAGAGCACAGTGCAATAAGCATCAAAAGCTGATTATAGCAACATAGAAATGGAACTATAACATTTACATATGGGTGTTTTACTCCACACTTTCTACTGCCCTATTTCTTTTGTTAATTTCTCCATAGCACCAGACCATTGGAAGCTTTTGCATAATTCGATCTGTGTAGCAGTCTTTGTTAATGTTATATACTGTAATATGATACATCTTTTTTAGAGTGAGAATTCTGTTTGGACATTTAAAGCACAAAAACACAACAATAATATTTTTTTTTTCTACAGATTATTCTATTCACATCTTGCTCAAGGCAGAGAATTAAGAACTTTGCTTTGCAAGAGGTGATAGACCTTGGTTCACAGGTCATAGAATAACACAGGTGAAATGTGTCATGTCAATATTTGTTTATGCAATGTTTTGGTAAATAAATTACCTTGACTGTGTTGTAGTCAGCACTGCATACAAAACTCCTCATATAAACAAAAAAGGTTAAATGGTGCTAACAGTACAGTTCAAAGAACACAAAGTCACCCCCTGTGTTCTATTGATTTTGGAAGATCAATATTTGCCTGTATATAACTAAAAGGTTTTCAACATTTAATTTTGTGTTTTATTTTGCATTACAAAATTAAATTATCACAGTCACAAACACTGGGCTACAGAATGTTCATTATTTGTCCTTGAAAATACACTTGCATAATGGAACAATTCTTATATGATGTGATTTCATATACTACATGCAATTGTGTGTGTATATATAAAAACAGTCACTTAGCCCTATCCTGATATCCTGATATGCTGTTTAATTTTAAATGATTTGTTCCTGACAAGTCATTAACTGAAAGCCTTGTGAGATTTTCTTTCAATGATAAAAAGGATTAAAAATCTAATTAACTACCTAAAAGGTGGAGTGATGTCTGAACAATGGACAATTCTGAAATTTTTTGGAGCATTAATTATTAACTATACAAAAAACGTTTGGGATTTACACTTGCCTGTGAGCCTGACATAATTTGTTTCTGCACTATACTGTATTATTTGTTTAATACTGCTTAACAGATATTATATGAAAGGTACAGTATATTATTGGAGCACTATATAAAAACTGTTCTATATGAATTAGACAAATAAACAATGTTTGCTTACATGTCTCCTTTTTTACAGAATATACTGTATGCTGGAGGAATGATATACACATAACATACTGTAGACTGAAGAAGGCAATGGTGATTTAAACCTTTTAGAAATCCATTTGTTCTTTTGGTCCATAAAGATCCTTTGATCTGTAGATCAAGGTGGTCTGTGTACCATCCAGGTTTGATTTGTTGAGGGCTGTAACAGATCAAAGATATACATATATTGTGTGGCATGTTATAACATGGGTGACAAGAGGAGCTAACATCCAGCCTGTCTTTTTCCCCTATTCTTCACTGTGAACTATATTTATGCATATGAAAAGTCAGTTGCTGTGATTAATATGTTGAAGGGTCATGAGCAATGGCATGGGAACAGTGATATTGCATTTAATAATACAAGCAACTCTCATACTGTATATTGTCTACCACTGCAAAGCTATCATTGACAATGTTGTTTTCAGCTAAACTTGTTGTGTTGACCTGTGCAAAATTGTTGATAATACGTTTAAAACAAACTTGAGTGTTGCTTGTTCTTGTACTGTAGTTTCTTAAAAGTCTTAAAAGTCTTCTAACTGAAACTCTTTAGGTCACTTGAGATACAGTAGAATGTGAACCACAGCACTTTCCTGATTTTAGGCAAATTGTTTTGTCTCAAATTGTTTTAGATCAGCTGTTGTGAAGGAAAGCAATATTAAAGTCAACTGGCAGCTGGAAATACAAAGGATTTTAATGTAGGTGGAAGTGTATTCAAGAGAAGAGGGGAAGATTAATCGCTGAAAAAAGAAGTGGCATTTTAAAACCAGAACCATTAAAAATAAGAAAATACGTTTTTTTAAAAAGGAAAATTGCTGTCACACCATGCATAATTACCTTAGGGCTTCTTTCCAGTATTTTTGAATCCGATATAGAAGAAAATTGAATTAATGTACCTTTAAAGGGGAGTTCAGTTTAGTTGCTCTTCCGCAATAATAAATAGGTCAAGGGTTTTTTCTATGTGGACAAGGCTGTCCAGTTCATGACCTGATTGCTTGATTTCACACTGAAAGACCTTTGTTTATCTGGCTTTTTTAAAGAATGCGAGCAATGAGCACCCATACAGTAGGTCACTGCTGAAACATTCTACTGCAGGTGTCTCCATGGTCAATATAGCTGAAATGGGCTATATTCATCTAATGTATGTAAATGTTTATTTTATATAACTCATTCTGTACTGTATATAGCCCATTCATATTCAGTTTATACTGTATTGCATTTGTGAGCCGTTAACTCCTTGTTTCTAATTTAGAATTCCAAATATCTAAAGTCAATAATATCTAATATCTAAAACCAGTTATAAAATGTATGGAAAGAAGCCAATAAATTAGGAAAAACATATATTTTTATTACAGGTTTTTAATGTTCAAAAAGTACTCTGCAGTACATTAACACAATGGTTCTTTAACATGGTTAGAAAACTCAAAAACAGTGAAATATGTTTCTAAAGAGCTGAAATCTTTTCAATTTCTTACATTTACAAAGCTGAATGAAACTATTAAAAATGTCAACAAATAGTAAGAAAAATCATTTCCAGTTTCACGTCAATAGTATCATATTACATTCTATATTTCTGAAGTCAGAAAAGCAGCAGAAAACTGAATAAGAACACATTTCACAAAAACATTTAAAACAGTTATCAAAGGTAAGTAACAAAAATATAAGCACTTAGATAGCCCATACAGATTTATTATAATTGGCACTGATTCATATGGGATTTATTAATATACATGAAAAGGTTTTCCTTCAAAAAACCCCCACAAATGTCCTGTTTGGAATCAGGTCAGAGCCTTCCCTTGTTTCAATTTACTGTGGTATACAGTATAGCATTTACCATAAGATGTTTTCACTTGTACTATTTCCATGGTACTTAGTAGTAAAACATAGTGAAGTCTTACAATGCCAGTAATACTATGGACAAAATGCAGCACAGTACAATTGTGGAATTCCTCTGGTAACTTTACCACTGCAAACTGTCTTAAGAGTATATTAGATTCCCCTTACCACAGTCCAATAATAACTTTTAAATTACATTCAGGACCCTATTTCTGATGATGACCTAGATGCTTGTGAGCCAACAATAAACAGATATATAATAATATGCACACGATTTTCAATATTATATAGCATCCTAGTCATGTAGTATACAGTATAAACCATGTCCTTCTGAACACCAATGTTCAAAAGCGGTCTCTAGTGATTGTGTAAGGGTGAAGGCTCACCATTGTTAGAAAACAATAAAATCTGAGGATTTGCCATTTTTTGTGGGTACGAATAAAAGTACAGATCTTTGTCAACTGGCCTACTTCTCAAACATTCTGAGAAACAGTAACAGAAAATACACTGAAGTGTCAGACTGCTGAGTTAACATTCCCCTTCACACAAACATTCTGTTTTGAAATTGAGATCTTAAGCAACTATGCAGATGTAGGTCTTGGGCAATATGCATGACAATTCAGCCTTACACAAAATGTGTTGAATGAATTCATCTTCCTAAAAGGCCGCCTAAAAAGAAAATTTAAAACCCTAATTAGTTAGTCATAAAAAACATCAAAAACTTTAAAATATGGTTGTACACTGTAATTCCAGCCATCCAGCAAAATTTAAAAAAATCTACATTTCTCTACCCCTCTAAAAATGAATCTGGCAAATGGCTTGGTTAAATTAACAATGCAAAGGTGATTGTATTTTCAGATACCTGTACAAAAAATACAAGCAAAACACTATATCAAATAATTTTTAAATAAACATTTCTGATATGCCTGATAGTTTAACACTTGCTGGTCAATTCACTCAAACTAGTAAATGAATAAATTTCTGTGAAACTCTCACTTCAGTCATATCTAAATATAATGGTACAATAAAAAGGGAGTTTGGACCAATAAAACCTTTAAGTTTAATCCACTGTAGCTATCTGATAACAAGTGGTCATGCACCTTACATTAGTTCATGAACAAAAATAGGGCCCAAAACTTATCTCTCTTTACTTTTTAACTAATCAAACTAAACATTCTTCTTCTCATTAATTTTTATATATACTGTACTGTACCTTTTTTTTCTAATGCTAGGAAAGATGCCAAGCAATTTGCACATTAATTAAACAAAACAATGATCATTTGTACCTTATATCTGTTTCAATGTTATTGAAGTATCAAATATTACAGTATAAAAATTACAGTATGTGTAAAATGCCAGAAAAGTGGAATTTGATAAAAGAAATGTTCGTAGTAGATAATGTACAAATTATTTTCCATTTTCCTACCCTCGACCGTTGAATACAATAATATAATGCAAGTTGGCAATACTTACTGTATTTGAGACAATTCTGAAATTGAAAGCCAATTCCTTTTATCCCAGATCCCTTTGTCATTTATGATGATTTTACTACTACACTTGATACTACTGGATGTTTGGCATCTGCCATTTTCACAGTTGCAAAATATGTTCTCTGTGACAAGTTTAATGTAAGCTAATTTAATGTAATGTAGTTTTTACTAGATAGTAAAATCAGCATGTGAATGAAGGATCTGTTTGGAGATTGCTGTGTAAAGAGGCGATTACAGGAATCTCAGACAAACCTATTCTATCAATAGGACGTACGTGTTCATCTCACTGATTGCTACCCATTTGAAGGAGTCATGAATCATACCTGCTGTATAATAGTACTGTTAATATTTTCAAAGAATTAAAAAAACAACAGGGTGTGTACAAAACATATATCGATTACTTTTTTATAAAGCAGCATTGTAAATGTCAATAGAACTACACAGTCAGTGTGCAGATCCTTGTAATGCATCGTGACTATACAATCTTTTATTTCTGGCTTCAGGAACATGCCTCTAACATACTGTAGCTGAATTCAAATGATGTTTATACCATCAGAAACAGCTTTTGTTTTCTTATACAGTACAGTATATCTGGAAAAAGGTGGATATTTTTTAATTGGTCAGATTTTCTTACTCCCTTTATTAAAGCATTTAATGAAGATTTAAACAGCAAATTTCCACTGTGCTAAATAGATGTGCTATATATTACTTTCTGAATGGTTCATATTGCTTTGATATGTTCAAAATCTTTATTCACATATAAAAAAAGCATATCTTAAACAGAACATATTCAACTATTGACCTTATGAAAATAAGCCTAGTTTTTGGCACAGATTGTTGTCTTTGATATGTGAATTTTGCAGAGTGTAATGACCATGGCTGGACAAACAAATTGCAATTTTTATTGTTTCACATTCATATAAATGCTTCTACACACACATAATATATTATTTATTCTTGCTTTATAAAGAAAGTATCATTTTCTGTAAAATCTTTTTTTTTTTAATTAGCAAAGTAAAGTGGGTCTACTTTAATCCAAGTGGCAAATTAAAGATGTTACTTTTAGCATGCCCTTTGTATTTACAATAATATGAAATGATAAATAGAAAAAATCTTATATTCTGTTTACTGGCATTTTGGTGAATAAAACACATTTTGTATTAAACTACGCACATTCTTTGACCCTTTTCATAGGTTGACATTTCTTCTTTGCAATATTCCATTTTTTTACATTTTGAACAGTTAACACTTTAAACTAGACCAGCTTTTAATTCAGCTTAATTATTGAAGTAGATTTTGTGTATTAATATGTTTACTTGTTTTTGCTTAAGCTTTGTTTTATAGCACAATTCCTCAAGATGCTGTGCCATTCAAGGTGCAATATAAAATATTTTTTAAATTAAATTTTAGGAACAGCTCTCTCAAACTGTATGCTTCCCATATTCAGAGAAGGTACTCAAATGTTGCTATTGTATTAAAAGGTGTCCTCCTAGTTCAGAGAGGTTCCTCCTTAAAATAAATAAAATCATGGAAAAAAAACAACTTATTACAAATTACATGTCTTATTGGTTGCAACTTTTGCAAAAAAAAACATAGATTTTTTATTTATTCGTTGTTTGTTTATAAATAAATTATAACCGATTGTAATGTTGATTTGTAACTCTATAAACCAAGTATAGGCTGTGTCTCTCCGTTTTCATATTATGTTGATATAGCTCTACATGAACATAATCTGCCTGATGAATATTTTCCAAACACTCACATAAGAAGGGTACAGACAGTTTTGGTCCCAAATGGTTTGAGAATCATTTAGAAAATATACATTCAAACTTTCAATAAGATACGAAGGCTCACTTATGGAAAAAAAAAGAAAAAAAAAGAAAAAAACTTCATTTGACAAAGGTGATTGATTATGTACATGGAGTTTTTTTTATGGTTGTAAAGCAAAGCACTTTGTATTAGCATGTATAATAACCTGCCAACAAGTCCCATGAAACTTTGTTTTATTTACATTATTTTCCAAGCTGGCCAAATCTGGTTCCAAAAGGAACATTCCAGTGATGAGATATTTTTCAATCAGGCTATAAATATTCTGTTGCAATTTCAACAGTTTCCAGGACACACAGGACAGCACCCACAACTGCTGACATTTAACACAGCCTGCAACTTTTTCTATGCACACCAGGCAGTAGCAAAACTATATACATATTGACCGGGTTTGAAAGGCGAGCGAGTCCAGAAATATACCACTGGTGCCCAAATCTGAACAGCTCTAATTAGTTGAAAGCCCAAGTTTGTGTAAGGCCACTACCAAATGAACACCACCTAAACCTAAATACTTTGAAGTCATACACTGAGCATGTTTCAAATTATATAAAGTAATAGTTGTAAGTAGCTTCATCAGGTGTATTTAATACATTTTCCCCCTTTCTTTATTTTAACTCGGCTGTTGAATCCATGTAAACATAGGAAACACAGTAGGCTTGTTTTTGTATTGATGGTGCCATACAGTATGTCGGAGATTCAAGGAATCTGGTACAGTGTGTTGTTTTCTGTCACCTTCCTACATTTCACAAGGAGGAAGAACTCTGGCTGTAGTCCCTCAGCACCAGTTTGTCATACTTGGGGGAGGAGGGGATGCAAAGGGCCGATTCAGACACAGGGGAGGTTGGCGACGCACTCCCTGAGTCGATGGAGTCCCGGAATGGAGAGGGAGGGGTGAGTGCCACCAGCTCCTCGAGGTCTGTTTTCATTGCCGAGGACTCTGAGGTGCCGTCCTTGATGCTGGTGGAGGACGTCTTGCTGGCTGCCTGCGAGCGTCCGTTCACCTCGATGGCAGGAAGGGGCTGCACCTCCGCAAACGTGGTCATGGTGGTCGGGAGCTGAATCTCCCGCGGAATCAAGTAGGGAGGGCAGATAGTCGATGAGCTGGCAGCAGTGCCAGGAGGAGAGGTGGACAGCATCATGTTGTTGAGCTCGCTGATGTTGGCTGTGAAGCGGTTGACCACACTGCTTATCTGGTCCATTAGCGAGCCCTGGGAGGAGCTGCTCCGCTGGGGCTGCTCGGACAAATAGGAGGGAACCTCTTCCTCTTTCCGGCCCAACGATGAAGCCCTCTGGCTCACGGTGCTGATGGGCGAAGGCGTCTGAGGCCGGTACTGGACTGGGTAGTGCTCCTCAGCCTCGGAGACTTCATAGAGCATTTTGGCACCAGTCTCTTGCATGATGTCACTACTGTAGCGGCTCTCCGAGGCCTTAGAAAAGGGCTTAATGACCGCAGTCTGGTTGGCATTCTCCCTCTTCTTGATGTGGATAGAAAGACGTTTCCAGAGATGTTGTCCTTTTGTGCTTTTTTCATTCTGGGCCCAGGTCACTGATTTGCCATTCGAGCTGCATTTAAATAATAGAAAGAAACTTAACTGAAGAGGCATGAGATTTGTTACACAATGATAGATTAACAACTTGTATTAGGCAGGAACACATAAAAAAGACGTCAAATCTATTAATATTTTCTTAAACATTTTTTCTAGCATGGATGAAATACAATAACAGAAGGTTACTGAAAAGCCAAGATGGTGTATGCTGACAGTCTACAGTACACAGTTGCTCAGCCCTCTACAGGTTTTACTGTGTGACTAATTAGGCAAGCATGATTGGGGTTAAATCCTAATGAATGTACAGTAGTAGAGAGATGAAATATCCGAAAAGTATTTGATGTGACTTGCTTAACTGAGGAAATGGCTGCCCAACCGCCCCCCCACCACACACTATTACAAGGATTGAGCTGGGGAGTCTCCTGCAAGGGTCTATTTGGCAAGGTGGGGGTGGTGCGAAAATGATACGCTATGGAAAGACCTGGGTACGAGACTTATAGATGGAGTCTTGCAAATGTGTGAGATTAGGATCTAATCTTCCTCCCAGACTTCTATTATAAACTCTGTTACTAGAAACAGATGAAAAAAATATGAGTTTTACAGACAAGAAAACTTTTGAGGCATTCAGTGATGAATTCAAGGCATTCTCGAAGTAGAGAGGCAGAATATTTTGGAGAGAAAATGCAGAAGAAAATAATGCATATTAAATATTTATGTTTAATATGTTTAACTACTTCTCAGAAAATATATTTAAGTTTAAATTACTCTAACTGATTAAGTATGTCAGAAGCGGTTTAAAATAAGTCAACAACAAAGCATGTTTAAGCTGCTTAAAATTCAAAACTGGGCCTTTTTATCTGCAAAGCTGATCATCAGGTTGACTGAGGCTTGTTAATCAGGAATTTAAAATTTGAAATCAAAATTCCCAATAGAAAACAAAATAAGCCATAGCCTTGTATTTGTTCTAGGAATTGATTCACATATTTGCAGGCTGATTAGTTAAAGGTCTATTGAGACTTTTCAAACTAAGAGTCAATAGTTGTATTGATTAAGTTACAGTATAAGCAGACGTGTGTTGTCAGTTCCAAGGTAGTCTGTGCAGGAATTTGTTCTGTATCATTAAAAGTAAATATTTCTGTGTAAAAATCAGTGATGGGTAGTAAGATAAATTATATTATCTTTAATTCTGTGTTGACATAAACTTTGAACTTTGCATCACGAGAAGCTGAATATTATGTCAATACCTGCTGTATGTCTATACTTAGAGTTAGATAGCTTGGGAAATATTGAGCTGAAGTAGCTTACAACTCTAAGGGTGAACTTTTGTTCTTTAATTAGAGGTTTTTACACTGTGTGAAAACAAATGATGAGCTCTTTTACTATTATGTAACTATCCTAGAAATTGAGAAGAATGAAATATTTCAAGAAACAGTGGTAGGTGTCATGGATGTCAGAAGGGACAAACCGTGGAGAGGCAGGAGAGCGAAAAAGACCCTGTGCGAAGCGGCGGAACCGGGGGTTAGCCTGGGCTCAGCAGTGCAAAGAGTTCAGGAGTGCCGTATAGAAACCTATGCCCTCAGGTAGCGGACGTGGGGCGACCTGGTGCTAGGCGGGTCTCAGGACATCCGAACGTCAATGCTGAGCGAGGGCAGAGTGCAAGACCCGGAAATATATAGCCCAAGGGAAAGAGAGGGACCGGAAGGACAGCAGACTAGGGAAACTAGGGACAGGACAGAGAAGGAGCGCCCTCTGGCTACAGAGGGTGTGACACAGGAGAGCGGAAAAAGACCCATATGCGTAGCGGCGAGATGGGAAAAAGGCCCGGGTTCGTAGTGCAAAGAGTTCAGGAGTGCCGTATAGAAACCTATGCCCTCAGGTCACGGACGGAGCGGCAACCTGGTGCTAGGTGGGTCTCAGGACATCCGAGCGTCAATGCTGAGCGAAGCAGAATTAGAGACCCGGAAATATATAGCTCCAGAAAGAGAGACACCGGAAGGAGAGCAAAGTACAGGAAACTAGGGACAGGACAGAGAAGGAGTGTAATTTGAGTAAAATTCCTACATTCTCAGTAGATGCCCCCAAGCAACTGAGACCAAATTCAACTTGCCACAAAAGTAAAAGCTAAGAGTTATAATATTTACCAAAACTGATTCATTAGAACAGTGTCTTTGCAAGTTAACCTCCAAATAGTTTACCAAGGCACAGAAACTTTTCTCAGGGGTCTATGACACATTCAATAATCAAATCTTGCTCTCAGACATTGGAAGGCTCATCTGCAAAAGTTTACTTCACAATTTCTCCAGAATCAGATTCAAAACCCATCAAACAATTGTGATACCTCATTTATCATTAGGTTTGAGCAATTAGGTCATTGAAATGCAATCACAACTAAAGAGACATGCCCACAGTTTTGAGACTTGACTTCTTTGTTTGATTTTGTCTACACTAGAGGGGTACAAAGATATGGTTGCTTTTAATCTAAAATGAAATTTGAATGAAATTCCTTGTAAATGGATCTCCATTACAGTTTTATGGCTTGCAATTGAAAAATAAAACGTTAAAATACATCTACAGTATGTCATACATCTGGTTTCTTCTGCTTGGAGTATAGAAATTATTTTTGTCTGTCATAAAACTGCAACTCAGGATATTGTATGCAGAATCACTTTATTTGTTCCTGCTATGAAAAATGCAAAACTCAGAAAAGGACATTTTATACAAAGGGATTTGGCATACAGGATGAAATATTCCATTTTGAAGGTGTACTGTGCATTGGTAAGAAAAGAACAGATGAGATGAAAAGAATTTGTGAGGGCTTGCTAAAATGTAATACTGGTGCTTGTCTGCCCAAGCTGACAGAAAAGGCAGACCTACAGTACCTCTCACCTCCATGTTTAATTATTAAGTGATAATTTGCACAATTATAACTGGATAACAGATGACTTCCAAAAGATACAGTAGATACAGTAATATCCTGTTAGAATCAATGAGAAATAATCAAAGTAAAAGAACCATTTGAACTTGAGGCAGAGAAAATGTACGGATTCAGTTAGCCTTAGAATAAGCAACGTCTCAGTAAACAGTTATCAGATCATAGCTGGTACAGTAGATTTGGTTATGATGTGCATAATTCCAATCTGTCCCCAGTAAAACAGTAGATTGACCTAAATTAAATGAGTTACTATAGAAGAGGCTTTTACACCTTTCTCCCAAGAAGCAATTAAGCTTTGGGGAAATATTCATGATTTAGCTGTTATCTAGTAAAGTATAACAAAAAATGAACACCATTCTCTGATATTTATTCATGTTCATGAAACACTTAAGTAGTGAGTTTATTTTACAATGTCACAAAAATCCCTTTTTTCTCACTGTCATCTCTGGGCTTTTTCAAAGGTAACATATCTGATTCTGTGACAGGTTTAGTTTTGTTTAGCTCAGTGCATGTAATTGAAAATGACCGGTATCTTTTGAAAGGTCTAATAAAAAAAGCCAACACTTCAGGGTACAACTCCAGCTCAGGCTCACAGCTTGGAAGATATTAAGCGTGACAGCTGCTCAAAGGTTCTCAAAGTCAGTTTAAAACTTTATCCCCTCCATACAGTATACAGACAAGACAGCAGTGCACATTACAATACTTTAGATTTAAAAAAAAATAATGTCATAAATTTCTTATTTTCAAATTCAGTCATTCTGAAATCTTGAAAATTAGTTTAGGAATTATATGCTGACAGATATAGATTTAGAGATATTTTTGATGAGTTTACCATAACATCTGATTAAATATCTCCAGCCACATTAGAAGTTTAGGCTGCTGACTTCAAGTATTCCTTAGGGTGTTTTTTTTTTTTTCAGAAAAAGTAGATGGAATAGTTGTTCTGCATAGTGTCACACTACATTAACTCATCTATGCAGTATTTGTTTTTTCCTTTAGGGAATTAAGCTCCCCAGGAAGTTAATTAATTCCCCTTGCTAGCTTTTCATCTGTGGTGAACTTGGGTCACGTCCGTCAGAAATAAAACAGCTTGTTTGGTTTAAATTACCCCTCTGCTGAACATAAGTCATAATAATCACTTGTATACTGTGTATTTGGCAATATGTTAAGTATTGTAACTGCTGATGGAAACTGTAATGGTCCATAAACTATACAGTAGTTGGTTACTAATACAGTTGGCATTATACAGATGATCATTACAACTGCAAACACGTTACAAGAAATCAATTCAGTGTATTCAGAAATCAAACCAATGCAGTTGGTATGAGTTTTATTCTACATAGGAATTTTGAAAACATTTAAATTCCAAAAGAAAATACTCTTATCTTCCAGTTTATGTAGATTTTTTAGCCTTGTATAGATTTATTTCTTTGTCCACAAGATAATTGTCTACTAAAAATGTTTCTGCTTGCCATCTTCATAAAGCGATAAAGCTCTAAAAAGCAATAGCACTAAAAAAGTCACTTTCTGATTCACTGTTGCTTTACTATAAGGCTTGAGTCCACAAGAAAATCCGCCCAAATATTCAATTTAAACAACTACACAGTGTACTGTATACACATCTTAAATAACCTGCCTTCTCTATTTCTTGGAGGTAAAAAAATGTATTTAACAACTAATTAAACATATTACTTTATAATATAATGTAGTGCTCATGGTACCCAGGAGTAAGTATATTTAGCAAATCTGTTTTTGCATTTTTATTTGGAAGTATGAACATAAACAATATAAGTCATAAAATATACAAGGATAACACTTTCAAAAATACCAATCACACAGCAGTTTCTCTTTAAAGATTTCAAGAGTATTTTTAAAGAAGGTCAATGTTGCTTATCTTCACTGTTAAGGCTAATAATGGCTTGGCAGGAATGAACTAGTACACTTAATATGCCCCCATATTTCCATATTCATTCAGGTTGAATACTCATCTAAGGTTGGTTTATTGCACAGGTCACATATGTTTAATCCTCCAATTATAATTTTTAAAAGTAACAGACTTTTCCAATGTATTTTATTTCATGGTCATTTTTGACGTGAATAGAATATGTGTTAGAATGTGATACAGAAGCGTACTGCACATTATGAAAGTATTTGCCTACAAGCTGAATGTTTCTGCTGCAGCACATAAAGTCAAGTAAATATGATAGCCAGTGGCAAAGATACTGTATGATCACTGATCATGTGTTTGTCAGATGGGTTTTGGGAAGAATATTTTAGCTAGGGAGAAAGTCAAGTAAACTTTGCTTGCCACACCAATATTTGTGCTGTCTTCAACTGACAATTGTGAAATTATTCATGTTTCCTTCTGTACTACGTTGATAATTTCTTATTATCGAGTCTCACTCGGGTATGGTACTGTGAGAGTGCGGTAGGTTCAGACTATTTCCATGAGAGACATGTCTGAACCATTCTCTAGAATGGTTGCCTGAATGGTTGGTGCAAGACAATTGGTCGGGTAACAATTTAAAAAGCAGGAAGTGGGGGCTTTCTGGCCTGATCTACAGTATCTGACATCTGGGGACAGGGGGAAGATCCTTTGTTGTGCTAACTCACCCAGAGTAGAACCGATAAGAAAGCATCTGACCCTTAGTTGAGTCTGTAATTTTTGTGACCTTTTCACAAAGTTTGGAAGAAATGTGTTATACTTTCACAGATACTTTGTTTGGAGCTGGTAGGAAGCCTAGCTGTCTGGCTACTGTTAGAAAGAGGCCTGGAAAATCTGCTTAGAAGGTTAAAAAAAGAACTTTGTGCATTGTTAATAAAACATTTTCTCTTTACATTTCTGCTGCTTTATGTGTTTGTCGACCTACCGATCGATGTTCCCTGTTTAAACACTCTGTGCCAGTCTTTACAAAAGATCATTTCACTAGACACATTTCATTTGTACAATAAACAGAAAAGGTTCGCCATTAATATTGACTTGCAATCATGAAACAGTTCAGTTCAAGCACCAACTTCAGACAACTTAGGGTTTCCTCAGATAAGTGTTATACTACATATTAAATATGTGCAATTTAAATACTTACTGTATGTGCAAATGATCACAAATTAAACACTACTGTCAAGTTTTAATATCTTTTCTGATGTCTGGAATGGACTGAATGGACTGAAAGGATAACTATTATAAAGCCTACTTTATGATATTAACAACATGGTTTTACTTTAAAACCATGTTGTTTATGTCAACAATGAGTTATTTTTGTTTCTGCGAAGATCAGTCAGATTTCCTTTCAATTAAAAGAATTAAAAAGAATTAAACAAACAAATAAATATGGAACATGTAGAAGTTAATATTAAAAAATTGGGAAAAAATAGTATAACACCATGTTTCAGCTTTGGTGTTTTCTTTGAGTATATGGAATATAAGTATTTAACTCTTTTCTTCTACCTTTCAGCATGGAATTAACCTTTGCTGATGATGATGCAGCTCCCCACAGAAACAAAATACTATGAACGTGCAGAATGCATTATCTTACCTTTGGTTTAAACTAAGGTCTCTTAAGAAGAGTGAATGGAAAGATAAATGAAAAGTAAATCACAGATCAAGCAAAAGCTTAAACATTCCTTTTACAGATATGAAGCCTGGATTGCACCGATAATTTCTTTTCAGAGTCTAACAGAAAATGATAGAACGTACAAGAGGGACCGTTCTTACCTTAAGGTCTCCCCAGAGGAGCCCCTCCTCTTCCACAGGTTGACCAGGCTGCTGGACCGGCTGGCTGCAGAGGAGGACTTTCCATCGCCCACATGCATACGCACCACGGTGGAGGTGGTGAAAGCACTGCGCACGTTCCTCTCCGGTTTGGCCAGGATGATGTACACCTTCGGGACGAACATGCAGCCCAGCGCCACAGTGGCACTCAGGCTGACGGAGAAGCACATGGTGATGATTTTGTAATTGCTGCCAAAATAAATGGGCACAAAGGCCAGCCAGATGATGCAGGTGGTGTACATAGTGAAAGCGATGTACTTTGCCTCGTTAAAATTGGCGGGCACGTTCCGGGTTTTGAAGGCGTAGAAGGTGCAGCTCAGGATCAGCAGCCCATTGTAGCCCAGGGGAGCTACCACCCCAAGATTGGTGGTATTGCAGATCAAGTTGACCTCTTTGATACTGGGGTAGTCGTGGATGACTTTTGGAGGCTCCATGATAAAAAGAGCAACAATAATGCTCAGCTGAATGCAGATTAAGATGAATGCGATAACTAGCTGAGCACAAGCACTCATGAACCTTGGCTTCTTGGTGCAGATTTTCTTCTTGCTACCGGCTAGAATTCTGGCAATGCGGTTGGTTTTAGTTACCAGTGCAGAGTAACTCATAGCAGGTGAAAGTCCAATTCCAACTCTTTGAAGGTAGCAGTATATGACGTGGGGTTTGGCAATGAGGCAGAAAGTACATAGGTATCCCAAACAGATTCCTGCTAAAATAATGTAACACAGTTCTCTGCTGGAGGACTTCACCACCGGTGTGTCACGGTACATGATGAAGATAAAGGTCACAAAAAAAGTAGCTAGGAGACCCAGGCAGGAAAAAACAACAGCAGCGATTGGCTCAGGATCGCCCCATCTGAGGTACTCTACTGGAATGGGATCACACCCTGCAGGCCAGGAGAAAATAAGCACGTCTTTGATTAGTTTTTCAGCTCTTTGTAAATTAGTTTTTAATGCAGCCTTTCAGGCTTTAGATAAGAGCAATTAATTTAAAGGACAACTCTAATTATACTGTCAGTGAAAGTGCATTATAATAAACTACTAGGAACTAGTTAAAATGATAAAATGAAGACTTATCATTAAAAAATAAATATCAATACAAATGTTTCACTAAACTGCTGATCATTTCAAAACCAACATTATTTAGAAGTCTTCTTTCTTCATAGTGCTACTGACCACACAGATATATTATGTGAGCTTCCCTCCAACATAAATCTAGACTGTCTTGAGAAAAGAGTTATTATTTTTTATGTTTTAAGAAAGATATAAACGATCACAAATCTGTATCAGTATTCTGTATCACAATCTGCAGTACATTATTCCTACAGAAAATATTCCACAGGAAAAAAAACACCCCTTGTGTCAGTCACTCTAAAGTGTTATTTACAATAGGTCATTAATATTATCATATCATCAAACGTGACCACAACAAAATCTGGAAATTATGACAGTTTTACATTGAAAACACAGTTTTCTCCAAATTCAAAACCACTCATTATCTCATTAGAATGCTGCAGTCTAAAAAAAACCCAGAAACATTACAATTTCCTTAACAGTGTAGCCGAAAATGAAGCAGTAATGTCACAATTGTGAGAATCTCCTGTCTGACTGTCACATGTAAATTATCTTCCAACAAAGTTTCTTGTCTGTAATCCTGTACAATGATATGTTTGTAATGAAAGCACTAAATCAAAGGTCCTGTGGTGTTTTTCATTTACTTGCTGCTAACATTTATCCTACATTTAATTACAAACTCATTTACATGCGCCTTGTAGTTGAAGAACTAATAACAGGTTAATGCTCTACTGCTTTTAATTCTTCCTTCTGTGTATGTTAATTGAAATAGGCTTGTATTTACTATTAGATAAAACCATGAACACAGAAAAAGCAGTTTGCAGAAATCAGAATTGCAATCACCTTGTTTACATGTTCTTTAAAGGCATAGAATTAGTCCTTATGAGGAGAAATGTTTAATACTATAAACTCAGTGGAATGTCACAGAGAAATTGGACTTCCATTAAAGCATGCTAAGTGCACCCATAACATTGTAAAGGTATTTTTTTCATAAACTAAAATCTGCTTTAACTAATAAAAAAGTCTCACAAAGGTCTGACCCACACAATACCAATTAGTGAAAATGCAGTATCATTCAGCCATGGATTATACTGCAAAATAATTCAAGAAACACAGTTCATTCATAAATTAACTATACAGTTGCAATTGTCTTTAAATATTAACTAAATTGGGTGAAAGCACATGTTTTTCAGTGTACTAAATTTTAAATTAAAAATGTTAGCTCCAAAACTAAAGTTACGATGGTCAGACCAAAAGTTGCAACCAAACATTATAGAATCTAATACTTTTGCAAGAGTTTTTATCAATGCCTTTGATTAGTTCACACTCATGTTTTTTGACATGTCAAAATCCGATGCCCGAAGGGTTTGAGATATTGATTACGGATCAGTTGACTCCCCAGCTAGGGTTAGGGTTAACACTCACACTGTACTTTGACAAATTTTACGGTCAGCTCTGGATTTTGGAGTCGAAGTCAGCTTTAGGACAGGTGATTTTTTGCTCCTATCTGAAATTTGTATTGATCGGAACCTCTTTGGTACTTGGATGGCACGGTGCACCGCTCCGTAATTGTATGCGAAAACTGAGTCGGACACATCAAAGTTGCAACCAAACACTGTAGAATCTAATAAATCTGATTGTTTCACACTCATGCCTGGAAAGTTTCAGATATTGATTGCGGAACGGCTCAGTTGGCACCCCAGCTAGGGTTGGGGTTAGCATTCACACGCTTCTTAGACAATTTTTATGCTCAACACTGGATTTTGGGGCCAAAGTCAGCTTTAAGACAGGTGATTTTTTGCTCCTATCTGAAAATGTTTTTGTCGGAAACTTTTCAGTGCCTGGATGGCACCTTTTACTGCACGGTAGCTTAATTTCAAAACTGAGACGGTTGTATCAAAAGTTGTAACCAAACATTATAGAATGGAATACTTTTGCAAGACCTTTTTATCAATGCCTTTGATTATTTGATTATTTCACAGTCATACTGTACCTTTTGGTTGGGGGAATATGTCAAAATCCGATGCCTGGAGGGGTTGATATACAGTATTTATTACGGAACTGCTCAGTTGACATCCCAGCTAGGGTTAGGGTTAACACTCGCACTCTACTTAGACAATTTTTAAGCTCAGCATTGAATTTTGGGGCTGAAGTCAGCTTTAGGATGAGTGATTTTTTGCTCCTATCTGAAAATGTTTTGGTCGGAAACATTTCGGTCACTGGATGGCACGGTGCACCGCTCTGTAATTGTATCCCAAAAATGAGTTGGTTGGATCAAACGTTGCAACCAAACATTATAGAATCTAATAGTTTTGCAAGAGCTTTTCTCAATGCCTTTGATTATTTCACAATCATGCCTTTTGGTTGGGGGAATATGTCAAAATAGATTGCACATCTAGAAGACAATCCTGTCTTCTTAAAGCATCTCCTAAACAACATTTCAACAGAAAATAATATGCAGTCTTGCTAAACATTTATTTCATATTGCTGCAAATCCCTAAACTTTAAAATTTAATCAGTTGCTCAATGTATAACAATCATATGATAGATGAAAGTAACACTGCAGTCTATTGCTTTGTCAACTGAATTGGGCTGTTATAAAATAATGATGAAAGACATAATGAGTTGACACAGATTGTATGAGATGTTTAAAAAGCAATATTGTCCTCAGTTGTTTTCTGTTTATTTTGCTAGTTGTGGCTTGCCAGGCCATCTTGTTCAGAACATTAAAAAAATGAATATTTGTATTATTTTGAACACAAAACAAAACAACAAAAAGTGACAAACATAAAAGGGGGAGTTCAGACAAAATGCGGAGAAAAGAAGTGAGTTTTGAATAAAAAAATCATTTGATCAGTCTGTTTGCACTAACCAAATGTACAGTAATCTCGCAATATTAAATTAGCAAATTAAGGAAAATGACAATTCTATTCATCAAATCCTGGTGTTCATCAAATTATATGACATTGTGAACATTTTCCAGATTTGATCTTGTTGTTACTCATTTGCTTTATAACTATGTATAGTCAATGAACCGAATGACCCGAGCAATTGTTCAACCAGAACTGGTGCAGGGGAAGAGACCAAAGCCTCTCTTTTAGTGATCAGTAATGAGATGAGGAGCCCAGCCTCCCTGTTTAAGGACTTACCCCCAGATGAAGTCAATTTAGATTTACCAGTGAAACCTGTAAATGTGAACCTCCCAGGTGGGAGAAAACCCATGCATAAATGTGACGTTCCACAGCACTGAACCCAGGATGCCGAAGCACTTGCTAACTTGTAACCACTGCATACCTTTCCACACTGACCCCTGGGAAATACAAAAGCCAACTGTGAGAGTGGAGATGAAGAAAAGAAATCCATTTTATCCACTCATCTCTATACAATAATCAGGATTCTCCAAATTGATTAACCGATAAATTTTTTAAAAGCAGTGCAATTTAAAGGACTTTGCAATCAAATCTTCATGCAAAATCCAATAGAGGTGAATATTTAAAAAGTATTCTTTTTCTCTTTAAATCCTGTTTAAAACCCTTCCTTGAAAAACATTGATTTTGTATGGGCTGCCGGTTCTGAAAAAAACCTTATTCAAATGATGAAAAATTAAAACCCATTGCCAGTTGTCACGGTTATTAATTTCATTGTCTACAATGAGAATAGATTGCTTTATCAGAATGTGAGTGTAATAAAAGTGTTAAATCTCCTGCCCATGATATTCGCACAATGTTTAAGATCCTCATTTTCTTCTTGAAATTTCTCAAATGGGATAGAAATAAGTTTATTCTTATTGGAACACCAACCCAGATAATGATGTCTCAGTAAGTGACATTAGCATTTCCCCTCTCATTAGACCATCTAGTGAACAGTTACTAATGTTTCTAAAAGTGCTGGAACTTGTATTATTTTTTATTGGATCTTATGCAAGGTTACACTAAGAACATCAAATTTCTCTTTTTTACAAGCATCAGTGCACACACAGCATTAGAACTGCAATAGTATGAACAACACTGTATTCTTTTTCTGTATTTTGAATAGAAATAATATGTGCAAACTGCATTCGCACCCCGTTGCTTTCAATCAACATAATGCCATACCCCTGGTGAAAGTTACATCCCTTCATGCTATATATGCAAATGAAAAGTAGTAACACATTCTCAAAACAGCACTTTAGAAGAACCTTATGTAAAACTGACATAAAATAAAACAAGTATATGGTAAACATTTAGCAGTAGAAAATCTTTTGAATGAGATTCCAGGGTTCCTTACAGGTTGGCACAGCAGTGTGGATGGGTACATAAGGGCTTGTTTTGATAAGAGTCTTCTGGTTACAAAATAAATGTCTTTCATCTCACTGTCCATCTGCCATGATATTACTGTACTTGACACACTTAACCCAGGTTTTTCTAGGGTACATTACAATAAATGTTTAATAAAGGTACCCTGAGCAACACAGTATTTCAATTTTTGGGTAAAAAGGGTGAAAGTTCTCAAGCTGCTGGTGTATAGAATGGGCTAAATGATTAAAAGTCTTTATACAGCACATCCGCTGTCCCACTGGACCTCCATGTGTCCTACAGTACAAGAAATCAAGCTGAAAAGGTCTGAAGAATCCCATATACAGTACACCCCTTTCAGGAGGATAACCTTTAAACCATGAAAAGAGTCCGGCTCTTATCTAGCCTGTTTTGTACACCTCTGACTGATATGAACATTGTGCTGCAGGGGTAATGACAATGTAGTGTGCCTCACATCATTTTTCCAATTGTAATGTTAGAGTCTTTAATACAAGACATTTCATATTAGGAGATTTATTTTATTAAGAAATCTGAAAACAAACTAATGCTTTCCACACACTTGTGGTGGCAATCTCAGAGGATTGAAATAAGGTTAGGAATTACAGTGTTTGCTTTGCCACAGACACGCTGTTTCCATCTTAATTGGATCAAATAGTATTCACTCCTGGGTTTTAAATTTAGATAATCAATTCATGTTTTATTAAATAAAACTCCCTGCTTGCAATTAGCACTCAAATGACAATCCACCTATTGGGGGATATCCACACTGGACTTACTACACATTTCTTTTGTGAAGATTACTGCTTCATGCAAGGTAAGGAGATACAGTATATAGAGAAAAAACAATAAAAAAATGAAGAAAAAATCTCACAATACAGAAAGGATCAAGATAACAAAGTGCAAGCACAGGAGAGAAGGATATTAGAAAGTCCAGAAAATTACAATGTAGGCTAAAATAAATCATGAAATGTATGAATTATTTTTTTCAGTATTATCACAGCAAAGGATGAAATGCCAGAATATGATGAAAAGGAAAATATCAATGTATTAACATTTCACACAGGTATTTACAGTACCAAGATAAAAAAGTAAGATATTTCAATTTAAGAACAAAACAATCTTCCCTATTAAATAATATTAGCATACTGTAGAAGAGGCAGAAGTGTTCCAGTTAAGAAATCTCCAGGACAGATGGTATTATATCAATTATAATAAAGGGAAGCAGTGATGTTATTCACTGGCCATTATCCAGACACTTCCTGCAGTCAATCAGGATGTGAGTAATATCCATTGACAAGATTACTAATGTAGCACTCATCTATTTATAGGGTTGTCAAACCAACTAATTACAGTATATACTAATAAATCTGACTATTTTGTATCTATTTAAAGTCATGGAAATAATAATCAGAACCAAACTAAAGGTAAGATAACTCTAAGGGATAGTTTGGATTTGGGAAATGTACATTTTGCTCAATTAATTTGTCAAAGTCATTTTAACAAGCAACAAAATTAATGAACACAAACAATATGACATGATATATTCAGATTTTCAGAGGGCTTTTGAAAAAGCACAACACAAAACATGAAAATTCCAAAACTGCCAATAGTAGTCATACAAGGAAACTATGAATGAGAAACTTTTAATGACTGTAAACAGAGTAGAGAAAAGGAGTAAATGCTCAAATTGTGGTGGTTAACTAAGTAACACATACAGTAGAACTATATTAGGACCACTGCTCTTTCTAATTTACATCAGTGACCTAAATTCTCATGTAGTTAGTACACTAGTCATGTTTGTAGATGATTCCAAATTTGGAGAATTATCAAATACTGCAGAAACAACTGAAGAAATTCCAAACATTTAGCATTGGAGAGTGGGCAAACTTCTGGCAGATGATATTCAATGTAAACAAGAGCAGGATGTTATATGGAAGAATAAAAAACATAAACGATGAATGTAAAATGCAAAACTGAGTTTGAAGAAGATGGCTATGAAAAAGACAAATATCAATGGTGACATAATTTTCTTCTTTGACACAATGGGGATGCAATAAAAAGGTAAACAAGACACAAAGCTCAAAATGTAGAATTTAAACAAAGGGATGTTGTGTTAAAATTGTACAATGTATAAGTAAGACCTCGTGCAGAATATTGTGTACCATATTGTCACAATGTTACAAAAAAACAAATTGCTTCAGCAGTTTCAGTACGGATTTCTTTTCCTTAGCTTCCTGAACCTAAAGGAATGTCCTTTACTGACAAGCTAAAAGAACTGAATGTATTTAGTCTTAAACAGCAAAAACTAGAAAGCAACCTGATTCAAGTCCTGTATGTACAGTATATTCGACCAAGCATCGACAAAGTCAAACTGCTGGAGTTCTTCAACAGTGTGACATGAACTAGAGGATGCAAATGGAAACTCAGGGAAGTACATTTAAAAGTGAGAACAGGATGCTCTTTTTTTTACACAAAGGATTGCAGGAGTCTGAAAGAAGCTATCTAGCCTTGCTAGAGAAGCCAACATAATACCCTAACATCTTTCAAGAGATGTCTGAATGAGATTCACAACCAAACTATTAGTGTCCAGCACATGAAAAAGTAATGTCGTCTTCTTTTGTGCAACTTTCTTTTCCAAGGCATCAGCATTTCAAATCAAATCAAATCAAAGTTTATTTATCAAATGCACAACAATACGGTGTGCAGCAGTATTTGCTGGCAATGAAATGTCTTTTTCTGCGAGCTCACAAAAATGACAAGAATCACAAAAATCACAAAAATTCACAAAAACACAAAAATCACAAAATTGAGGTTACATTTTTGAAATTGAATAAAACTCAATGTGAGTAGAGCTGTTATGTGTCCATGGTGTATGCAATATACTGTATACATGTAGTGCAGTTATGCTGAATATAGTGAGAATTGTGTGTCCATGTAGCCATTACAGGTGATTTGCTAAGGAGCTACAGGTTGGCTATTTAGCAGTCTTATTGCCTGGAGGTAGAAGCTGTTCCGTAGTCTGTTGGACTTGGACCGAATGCTTTGGTACCGTTTACCGGACGGTAGGAGGGAAAACAGTTTGTGACTGGGATGACTGGGGTCCTTGAGAATGGACCTGGCCTTCTTCAGACATCTAGCTGAGTAGATCTCCTGGATGCTTGGTTGCTCACAGCTGGTGACAAACTGCGCTGACTTCACCACCCTCTGCAATACTTTGCGATCTCGTGCGGAGCAGCTCCCATACCAGGCAGTGATGCAGCCAGTCAGGATGCTCTCAATAGTGCGGTCAATTTAAGGGTCAATTTAATTTAAGGGTCACCCAACTCACAAAAAGTCATATCCATATGTCTATAAATAGTTGCTTGTTGCTAGTTGTTTGATATACTTAAAAATTAACAAAGCCATCCACAAACAAATCTCTGAGTACCACTCACTTTCAAATCTGTATAAATCTAATCTTAATCAGTCTTCATTTGAACCTTCAGCCAACCACTAGCTTTGCTCCTTTACAGATTGAGAGTTCTCTGATCCCACCATTTTATTTCTCTGAGCAAAGTTCTGGGCTACTTATATGCATCAGGTTATGTTCAAGTTCTCCAGAATGTCGGTCTTGTTTGGTAAAAGCTTAGTGGGGGTCTCTCTGGAATGGCAGATGATCAAACAAATGTTAATTGAGCTTCTTTCCACATAGCAGCTGTGATTTTAACCTGTGAACTACAGATTATTTGATCCTTACTAGTCATATGCCACTTAACTAGGAGTTTGAACAGGAAACTATTGTATTTATGTTTCAGTACAATAAAGAAATCAAGGTGATCGCATTACCTGAGAAATATTTTCGACGTTCTGTTTTAAAAGAATCATCAGCTTTAGGTATATGCCGCTAGGAAACAATATCGGCTTTTAAAGGCTTACTTTTAATAATAATTCCTGGCATGTATAGAATGTTTTTCATTACAAAGTGTTCCACACACACAAGGGGATTCACTTCCTCTACCAATTAGGTGCGACGCCCACCTGGGTGATACTCAGCAGCCATATGCCCAGCTGCACAACGGATTAGGCAGAGAAATGAGAAATTGCTTTATCAATGCAAATAAGGGATACATTTACAACAAATAGGCAAGGTTTACCCAGGACACTAAGGCTAACACCACTAGTCTTTTGAAATGTGCCATGGGATCCTTAATGACACAGTATTTAGATCCCCGGTTTAAACATTTCATCTGAAGGACAGTCACCATACTTTGACACAGGCTTAGAAACTGTGGTCCAGAAGAAAGACTGCCACCTATTGTTCCATCAGCACCACTTAGTGCAACAACTTGGATTACCCTGGAGGTCTCCCATCCCAGTACTGACCAGGCCCATCCTTGCATGGCATTTGAGATCAGGTTATAATTTGGTAGCAATGCTGTTTCCAACACCAAAAGTACAGTCTCAGTTATACAGAAGAATTAATTCCAATTAAACGCACATGTTTTCACCTCTTGATTGGCCTCTCTTTCTGTCCCCTGCTCCCGCCTCTCACTCCTCCTCCCTCCCAACCTTTGTTCTCCCGCTACTTTACCTTTGCCTACTGCCCTGTCTCTCTCACACCTGAAGAAGGCTTCACGGCCGAAACGTTGTGTTCTCTTTCTTCTTTTTTTCAGCATGGAATAAACCTATAACTTGTTCCTTTGCAGCCTACGCATGCTGACGCAGCTACCCACCTGAACTACTATGTTTTAACCTATATCTGAGAAGACTTCAATCACAAGTTTCCTACATTCTTGTTAAGTGGTTGTATTGTGTATAATAAAGCCCTTGACTGCTCAATGCATTACCTGTGAGATCGTAAGTGGGCCAGGAGCCTAGCTCGCATGCCCTACAGGTGTATTCATCAAAGACAAATTCATTGTCTTTACAGGGTGTACAGGTCCAGCAGCAGCTCACTTCACCCTTGCGGATCACCTAGGGGGAAAATCAAAGGCAGCTTGAGACAGCAGTGTAGCACCATGCCTTTGCCTCATTATCAGCTCACTGACTTTGCTGTGTACAGTATGTAAGAAAGAGACCAAAGCAGAAGAGCTACAGAACATACCAGTTTCTCCACCACTGGGGCAATACTGTTGAAATACTGTAAGTATTACAGGTAAGTATAACAATTAAAGCTAGTGTTTAAACAGCATTTATATAAACAAACTTTAAATAAAGTTTAGCATGCAAAAAACTGAAAGGAAATGCATTGTGGCAATTACTCAACTTTTACAAGCCACACATGAATAAATATGCATCACCTTACCTTTATTTGACCCTTATCACAAGGCTCACTGCAGACAGACTTCATAATTGTATTTTTATTTGCCCAGATTTCAGCATCATCTATTTTCAGTCCACTATTGTCCCAGCTCCCCACATTGATGTAGTCATAGTAGTCCTTTCCCATTTTCTTAAAATTCATTATCTCATACCTATGATATGAAAGTGTGACATTAGTTTTCCTTGAAGATAATGGAGATTGATACACAAAAGATGCTATGCAAAAGATGTAGGATATTAAATTATCTTTTAAAGTGCTGGTACGTTGATACACCATCTGAATTCTTAAGACAAGAATCTGACTTATTACTCTTTACAGTATATAAAAATCATAAAGGTTATTCATACAGAAATGATTAATGTCCTTAATTTTATTAGCACATTGATTTAGATATTTAAATATTGGCATTAAATTTCCTTATAATTCATTTTGAAAATCCTTTTTGCATTCTTAAAAAACAATATGCTAATGATACCAAAACAAGACAAGCAATGTCTGCTAGCTCAGCAAAGTGACATTCACCTTCCTGGTGAATCTCCATTCTCATCAAACAAGATGCCTTCCCCCGAGACCCCTGTGAAATTGGTTTTCATCAGGAAGTCCAACAGTTTTCTGCCATCTATGGGTTTCATGGCATCACAGAGACCAGCATAACCAGGACACAGGGCCTGCTGCATATTGTGCAGACCATAAGCCATGGAGTAGATAGCATTGATGACAAAACCCATTTTGGTGTCTTGGACGTAGTGTTGTCTTAAAGACTCTTTCTCTGTGGAGAGAAGAATAAAAACACAGCATTAGAAAGATTCCAAATGTCAGAAGACATGATGTAAAATAGATGTCTTTAGCAACATTTATGAATTAACTTGCTTGTTTTACTTTCGATAGCATGAAAAGAAACTGATGAGAACACCACCAGACATTTGTTTAATTATGAATAAATTCATGTTTAAAACAATGGAGGGATAAATAAATTAGAAAGGATCCATGTTCCTCTATGGTGAATAAATATTAGCTGAAATATTAAAAATATTGTTTCCAAACATAAATGAAGATGAAAAATAGATATGACAGTAATACATTTAACATAATTATAAAACAGCTTCTTCTATCAAACACTCATAAAGTATAACAGACAAGGAAGGAAATCTAATCTTATTCAGGCTTTTGTACCAGTAGTACAGTGCATTCAATTTTCTCAATGACAGTCCAGGGAATTATCGTGTACGAATACTACACTATGTATTACTGATGAAAAAGAAAAACACAACATCTGCAAAGTTACTGATAATTTGTTCAGTTTAAATTAGCCTGGAGGAACCTTTCACAATTCTGAAGGATCAAAATAGCTCCTGCATAATTTTCTATGATGTGGATTTCTAACTGTGTTTCTAACTGTGGATTTTTAAAACAATCTCTCTCCATATATAAATATTGCACATTTTTTAATTTACATCTATGTTCTTCTTTAGGAGTAGTTCAGGAGTTGTAGAAGTATCTTTTTTAAAAAAAAATTTGGGGGCTCTCCTGGCTATAAAAGCAAATTGCAGCATTTCATCCCTGAAGATTCAGAGATGGTATTGCAGTCGCTAATTTTACATTAGTCACAGAAAAATACACAAATAACATTTGCAAGCAAACTTTCATGAGTGTATTTTCTTCAACAATCCATACTTTGTGGTACTGTATTTATTGAACTTAGAATTATAGTTTTACTGACAGAAATTATTTTCTTATTCCACAAATTTTGTGGGGGTCTGGAAAAAGCTATCTTAGGTTTTCTGTTCTTGAAAGAAATAGATGAATGAGATCCTTCGATTAATTAGCTACTAATGACCAAAAAAAGCTTGATGGGCCAAGATACCTTCACTTGTTTGTAGCTTTTTTATGTTCTTAAGTGTCTGATGGTAGATAATCTAAAAATTAAGTTTTCTTGTGACTTAAAAATACAGTACCTGTATATAGGATAGTTGGTAGAAAAGGAATAAATAATGTGTAGAATAAAATGTTTGTCCCTGCTACAAGTTTATGTAAACCATTTCTCTAACACAACATATGTGAAAATAATGTGAACAGACACTTAAAAATGATATATTTTCGTTTATTTAATTTTTTTTAATCTTTCAAAGACACTTGTTTTAATCTGCTGTAAGTGGAAATGTATCAGTAAAGTGTTTCCAAAGCACGGTTTCTGCAAAGGATAAAATGAGTTCTTCTTCTTGGGCATGTGCCTGAATAATGTAACCACTAGCAAACATCATAACACGAAAAACATTTATTGTGCAATTATTTAGGCAAAAAAGTAGTTCCATTTGAATCTACTGTATGTGAGCTACCATGTGATTGCTCCAGATGATCACAGTATAAATGTATTTGCATTATAGGCTCTATTACAACAACATGTTACCTAGATCCATTAAAAAAATGCAATATTCATATTTTTAACTTTAAAAAAGTTTCAATTACTATAATGCACTTTGTGTAGTGTTTTTAATTAAATAAAACAAAAACATGTTCAATCTATTATTCAATTTCGGAAATTACATTTCTTTTCAAAGAGTGTCATCTGTGCAATAGCCTTTGAACCAGTGTTCATAGGTAACTTTGTAAATGAATGGTATAAGAGACACTGCATTCAGAAATAAAAGGTTTTATGTTACAATGAATGTTGGAAAAATTTCTGAATAAATTAATTTGCAAAATGAGCCACCTCTATAATGGGACCTGGGAATGCTTGTAGCTCGATAACACAGTAACCTAAATGAGATGCGTCTCGTTTCAGACAATGATAAAACACAGAAGCCTCAGAAGGCTTACCTTCCATAATTAACATGAAAATAGAAAAGCAGGAGGGTTTATTGAACAGGTTTCTTGTTGGTGTTTTTAATGACATTTTAAAATGCAAAAGCATAACAGCCCACAGGACTGAATGACCAGATGTCCTGCCTCACTAACATTTCAAACACATTCTGTCTTTAGAGATGCCGGATGCTTCCCTGAGGTTTATACGCTGTACAGAAAGTGATGGAAGACACCAGAGTCTGCCAGCTTACTGGTACAGGTGCGGTTGTATTTGGTATTCTCCTGTGGGTGACCCTTGAGGCGACACTGAAACCGATGCTGCCAGAATTCGGGAAACCAGGGGTTCCGAAGGTTCATGTCTGGCTTCAGCTTCAGGTAATAGTCATCGAACCACTTGACATCCGCAGACTGCAGCTTGATGGTTATGCCCCCAGCAGCCTCCCTGCTGTATCCATCGGTGACGTCATAGCGGTCAGCCCAGCCATCACTGCAGGGGAAACAAGGAGGAAATCATACTCTGGAACAGTCCATTTCATAAGAAAAACACTGGACATGGCCATGTCAAGAGGCTTAATAACATTATAAGGCAGAACTGAAATAGATAAGTTTGGAAATCAGAGTAAGTGTAACTCAGGCTACATTAAAGAAGCATTTTCTCTCTTTCCAAAATCACTATTTTTTTTATTTTTTATGGTGATTGAGTTACAATAACAAAGCCTGTGTCCTGTCTTAAAGCAGTGATGGAAAACAGTATGAGAGAGCATTTAATTTAAAATTCGGATGTGTATATTTTGATTTATATAACATAAATAATTGCTTTTAGAATGTCATAATCTTTGATTATGACTGAAAACATTAGACAAAGGCGGCAGAATCATCTCGTAATTCAAGAACAAAACAACAACCACAGGAAAATAATTTATGCTACTTCAGAAATTTCATTTGCTAAACATTCTCACAGCAGACTGTAAGTCTCCATTAAAATTATAATCGTTTTCTGTCTTAATTATAAATGACTTCATAAGGTTGGAAAAAACTAATCTATATAATATTAAATGTCTTATAAATATAAATAGCATGTTTTAACTTATTTAACCTAGCAATGGCATTGCAAGAGAAGATTTTAAACTGCCCTTTAAAAGGTTACAGCTATGTTTGCTCATAAAAGGGATGACATGTCAAAAGTTTTTTACCAGTCACATCAATGGAAGACAAGGATAAAATCTCTTTGAACCAGTTACAGTATCAAACATATCTTTTTTAGTTCTTTGTTGTACTATAAACTGCTCGACCTGCAGATAATTTTGTCACTAAACTAAGTTTTCTTCTGGGTGTTATTTCATTCATCTTTTCAAGTCTCAATCATTTTAAACTTGTGAAGTATTGAGATAAAAAAAAACAAGGAAAGGAAAAAAGGTAGTTCAGAAAACCCCCTAAAGATCTTCAAGTGCAGTTATAAAATCACTTTAAAGGACGGAAACAAAAAATGCCGCAAAAGTGATGACCACTGTGAGTCATGATGATCACATCAAAATGTCTTCTGTGTGTTGCCTTCTTTCATACCCCAGGGAAACAGGAAATCTTTGGTGGCATCTAGAAAGTTCGGGTGCTTCCATAATAATTTTTGTTATATAATTTAGTATAACTAAATTTCATGCTCTTCAGATTTATGAGCACTTCACTTAAGAAAGGTATATTTATGAATGTACATGTAGATATAAGGCTGTCTAAGATATAAGATGTAATAATTTAATTGATAAGTTGAGAAAAGATTCATATTTTATAGATTTCTGAAAATTCTGTGTATTTTAAATCTTTGTGGCCACTAATAATGTAGTACTCTTTCTAGGTATAATATTTCCTGGTGTCATGTTGCTCTGGTGTAACACCCATAGTTATTAAGAGAAAAGGAAAGATTTTAAGAAGGCAGATTAAAAAACCCCAAACAAATTGTTTTTGCTTTTCTCTGCATTTAAAATAAAAACTGGAAATGAACTGACGAATGATGAAGCTGAAATAAGAATAATACTTCATGATCACAAAGACAGAAAACAAAGTAAGAAAGTAAGCAGCAAGAGAACCGCTGAAATTCTAACTTTCTTCAAAATGTTGAAAATAAATTAATTTTCATTCCAAGGAATCTCATATTTTTATCATAAACCTCATGTGTCCATGACTATGATATCTAAGAAGACTTCACCAGCCAAGGGCAAAGCATGCAAAACCTGATCTATATTGTTGTGAAATGATAGGACTTTTATTGGAACAATCCACTTAAAACAGCATTTGATTTGCTTATAAGAGTACAGATCCTAAATAAACTGTGAACACAAAATATATTTCTGTAATCCCTAGAGGGCCTGAATATGGCAGCAGAAGAACTTTAACAGAGAAAGCAGATGAAACACAACATTAATTATTAATTATTAAATATTACCCCTTTAAAAACTGTTCTATTTCATTTTGAGGTGTAAATTATATTAATGAAGAAATTTCACTATTATTGTTGTATTATTGCATTTTAAATAAAACAAGCACTCCTGCTTAAAGGTAAGCAAGACCTCTATAGATCAATGCAAGATGCATGATTACTGTACCTTCTGTAGTAAAACAGATGCTGTTTTCTCAATATGCTTGGTTCCAGAGTCATCCTAAATGTAATATTGTTGGCAAACTATTACTCATGTACAGGATGTGGCTTTGTGCTGAGCACCATCTCTAAAAGTTTCATATCCATGAACAGAAACGTCTAATACATTTTGATCATAAAGCTACCATACAGCATATACACAAACAATGGCACTGTAAATATACCTGAATGGCATTATACTATATCAGGAATATTAGTTATATTAGTCAGAAATGGTGTTATTGTAAAGGGTATAGTTAGATAAAAGGAAGCAATGGAATGTGATTTCCAACATTTACAGTAGGCTGATAGCTGTCTTCACACAAAAGCAGGCTTATCCTTTTAAGTTTCTTCATAATTCCCCTGTGCATTAAATAGGATAGCAAGTGAACATTGTATCACCACCTCACTTTGATTCTTATAGGAAAGCTTCTACTCTCCTTTGGGACTTTCAAGGCCTATGCCTGTTTGATAACCTAATCTTTATCTGTTCCCTTGTCATAACACTGTGGATACCAACTGAAGACGTAACTGAAGTGATTTAATCTGCTGCATAAATACAGTGTATTATATAACCATAATACAGGTTGTGTCTCCAACTTTTACTTCATTCATTAATTTAAATGAAAATTAAGACATTTAATGTTTGATACTGAAGTTTGTTCTGTTACATTTTATTTCCAAAACAGTGAATTTGTGCTTTTAATGAACCTTTGTCTTGAGAGAGATTATTATGATTATTTTATTATTACATTTCAAAAGTCCACTTCAGAATTTACATATGCATAAACGTAAATTCAATGACTTGTAGTGATTGCTTTTGAAGTAAGTTGTGCAGTTGTGCCATGGTCATCTTTATATAAGTACATATACTGTAGATTGCACACACTATTCATATACACATACAGCACTTGCTAGCATGATTCATACCCCAAAAGTAATATGAAGGAAAAATATTGCATAACAGAAAGACATACAGATGTGTCCTGCTGAAAAAAAAATCCTACTGTGATCTTAATGGCATTACACATAGCAAAGTCATGTTTGTCATCAATAATTAATGTAAGGTCTGGAAAACATGATATAAACATGAAACTACAGTAAATACCCCTGTAGCATGCTTTAAGGTTCAGGCAGTTTTGAGGGGGGAATTTCGATCATTCCTTCAGGCAGAATTGCTCGAGGTCCTTCAGAACATTTGGTTTCTGTATGTGAACTGCCTTCTTGAGCTCAAACCACAGATGTTCCTTTGAATTGATGTCTAAAGATGTACTGTAGCTTTGCAAAATCACATTGCCCCTTTTTGTGGTTTGCTCTCAAAAAAAGAGGCTTTTTCTTCTTTGCAATCTGTTCATGAATGACACATTGATGCAGGCAACTTAGAATGGTAGTTTTTGACACTTTGTATCTTGAAGTTGCCAGATTGTGTTGGAAATCTCCAACTGTTGCCTGAGAATCAACTGTTGCCTCCAGAACCATTTGTTTTGCAGTCCATGTTGGTAAGACTTGGATCCTTTTGCTGGCAGGTCTGCCACTTTACCAGTAGTTTCGTAATCCTGGGCACTACAGTGAAAAGTGGTAAACTCAGCCTTTTGTACATTCTTTTATACTTATCTTTCACTTTGTGGAGGAAAATGACCATTTGCATGCAGTCTTCACAGAGCTGTCTGACCTTAACCGTGATGACACATGCTACTTCAAAATGTCATCTGTGTGTTTCCCCCCAAGGAAACATTTGGTGGCCAACATACAGTATAGTTCTAGATGAACTATAGTTCTTTGATTCATTTCCAAACAGCTGTATTTTATTGCAGATTTATTTTTGTTTGATTTTATTCAAAGGAATACTTACATGTTTGAATAAATGCACCTCTATCTGTATGCTGAAATTTGATTAATTATTAATCAACGCTATTGTGATTTCAGTACAGTACATTTTAGAATAGTTTTAAGCAAATTAAATTAATAAATAAATTAACAAAAATTCTATTAAAACACAGTATCAAAGTATTTCATTGAGGTGTAAATACATACTGTACGGAAGGCATGGTACTCTGAAACACTACAATTCGGAACAATTTTAAAGCTATGAATTCTCTCATAACAGAAGATCAGTCTACTGAAATAGTGGAATTCTGTGCACACCAGATATACCGTATACTGTACATACTGATACACAAAATGTTTGGCAATGCATTGACCCGTTTATGATATTAATCTTGTTTTTTTAATGAAACAAGATGAAGACTATCAAGAGTAGCTTCATGTGTCCCCCAGTGTAAAAAAATCTAGAATCTGATCATGACAACTGCAGTAGTTTATCCTCAGTATGGAATTCTTGTCTTAAAATATGGAATTTGAGTGATCCTTGAGTAAATAATGTATACTGCTTTTAAAAAATTAAATTATATTCCTTGCAATGGCAGGGTAATAGGAAAAATGTTAAGTAATGGTTGAGGATAGTTTGATGAAAAGGTTAGAAAATGGGTGGATGGATGGTTCAGGATAGTAAGTTGAGTTTCTATGCATTATGTGTCACAAACCGCACGCAGGCATACAGACACTGTCGCACCCACTAATTAACTTCACACACTTTATCTATTTAAACTTCCACTCTGCAACTTGTCCTTGCTCACTATTGAGATTTCCTCAGCCTGAGCTGTGAATCTAGTTAGCGATTTATCATTTGTTCTTGTGACCCACTGGATTTCTGACCTACCTGCTTCTGATCCCCGACCTCGCTTTAGCCTAACGATTTGATTAATGTTCGCCTAGGAAAGCTGTTTTCTCTCTCACTCTCCACACAGGGTCTTTTCCTACTTTTTCCCTTGGAGCACGTTACATTATGATTTTGATTC